CCTTAACATGTTCGTACTCTTGCATATATGTAACACATGACAGTGAACCAAAATGGATTTGGAGGACTCTGAGGGATGTTGTGTAGTACAAGAAATCGGTTAGGCTAAAGATCCTTCATCAAAAAATTATAGCAGAATTTTCAGCAGTCGCCTGAGACACATCGACTAAACATTGTTCAGTATTGTGCTATAACTCTAGCTGTTAATGGCTACCGCTGTGACTGAGCAATCTAAGTTACTGTACAGGTACACATTCATAAATATTATTATTAAACCTAGCATAGCCTCTGATATGTATGATTTAATTATAATTAAGTTCAATACTAAAGTACAAGAATTTTGAGCTAATCTTTGGAATATGGTAACAGGTAGTTTGGCGACATTTTGATAAGGCGATAAAGGTTACTAGCTAGGACTTTAGCAGTGTACATGGATAAAGTCAAGAGTGTGCGCAATGCCATTTTGTGCAATGTTTTTTTAAGTGAAAATAGGTCGACATGTGCATGGATACCGTGTATGTGCAATTCTTAAAAACGCGGCAAGCAGTGGGCGATTCTGCACTTTCTCCCAATTTCGCACCTAATCTTCGTCACTTTTGTTCCATAAAAGTTCTAGCATAAGCGTAATTCGGCTAGCAGATTGTGGGAAAAATAATGTTGAATTAAAAAAAAAAAAAAAGCCTTTACTTTGTAAAAACAAAATGGCGTCCCCCCCCCCAAAAAAAACTAGCAGGGTTCGTCACTGAATTTTCGCCCCAAAATCGTTAAGTTACCATAATCCGAAGATTAACCGAATTTTCTTTTATTATTAAAGTGTGTGCATTTTTTTGATAGGCCGTTTATAAATATAGATGAATTTTAGTTTAATAGGACCGAGGGCCAGACCACCAGCACCTGAGTGGTAAAGTCGCTGAATACTAGATATTTAGCCCAGGGTTCCAATTTTGCCGAATGCGCTGGCTGCATGGGCGCTTTCATGGTTTTCCTCAAGTGTAATGTGTTTAAGAGCCAGTTTCCCTTTGAAAGTCTTCCATAAAAGCATCCCTCCTGTTAAGCAGATAGCACTCGAGTGCTTTGTATAATTAAATAAACCAAACCAAACCGAATGCAAAAAAATCACTAAACTACTAAATCACTAAATCATGCTACTTGGCCGGTCAAAGGGATAATATGTAAGAACCTAAAACAGTATTAAAATTAATACACTGCATTTTTGTGGATGCCAATTGCCTCGTATTTAGCACACATTTCTAATTAGCATCTATGTTCCCCAAAGCCTTTTATCATTTGAGCAAAGGATCTTTTGTCAAACTTGTGACTATCATACATTTTTCTGTAAACTTTAAATTTAAAACTGTGTAACTTCACGTTCCCTTAAGTCAAGGATGAATATTCCATAACATGTGAAGAAAACATATATTTATTTTCTCATATGTCGAACCTTTTTCAGTATTATACTCAAATATAAGGCTTCATACTATATTTAAAGTTTATATATATCAATATACCAGAGCCTGATCTTTAAAAAAAAAATCACATCACAGGAAATGAAATTTGAGATTAACATTACATGATATTCAAATTTATATAATTTTAATTTCAGCTTCAACATTATTCATTTCCTAGATTAAATCTTAACATGGACTATTTATGATGTCCTACAAAAAAAGCCCACCAGCGTCAAGCGGTTAATGTCGCTGAACACTGGTAGTTCGGTCTGAGGTTCGAATCCCGCGAACAGGCTGGCTGCATGGACATGTTTTCATGGTTTTCCCCATGCGTAATGTGTATACAAGCCAGTTCCCTTAGAAAGTCCTCCATGAAGGCATCCCTCTGCTTAGGCAGATTGCCCTCGAGCTATAAATCACATAAACCAAATCAAACCCTTCAAAAAAGTTAGGAACAGATTATCATTTTAACACAGTAAACTTTTTCTTTGTGATCACTTCTGAAACTGACTACTTCTCCTCAATACACAAATTCTGGTACTGAACATCTTTTTGAAATGACAAGCTTTACACAAAATTAAAATCATGTAGAACTGCTGGTGGTCATCTTAGAGAGAGTTCACTGTATTTATTAAAGGTCAGAAATTTATTCAACTATTTCTAAAAACGCAAATTAATCAACAAAATCTGTACTTTGTTTCTGTAAGCATAATTAATAACAACTTCCAAGTTTGATTTAGTATGTATGATTACAGTTTGTTACATTAACGAATGTCATTTGCTTGACAGATATGAAGAATTTCTTTTGAGGAGCTGTTTTGCTTGGAGGGTTGGTTTGGTTTGTTTGATTATGGAAAGCATACAAGGTCTATGTGGGAGGTATGTCTTTGTTGAGGATTTTCTAAGGGAAAACTCTCATATCCACGTTACGCATGTGGAAAACCAGGTAAGTGCTCATGCAGCCAGCCTGTCCAACTGAAATCAAACTCAAAGCGAACTATCAGCGTTCCAGTCACTTTACCACTCAGCCGCTGTTGGGCTGTGTGGGGAGGACCATGAAGGTTAGGTTAGGTTATTTAATTACGGCAAAGCCTCGAGGGCTATCTGCCTAAGGGGAGGGATGCCTTCGTGGAGGACTTTCTAAGGGAAACTGGCTCGTATACATGTTACACATGGAGAAAACCACGAAAACACTCATGCAACCTGCCCATTCACGGGCTTCGGACCGAACTACCAATTTAAAGCGACTTTACCGCTCGACCGCTCGAGGGCCATGAAGGAGAATAATTACATGCATTGAAAACTGAATTCTAAACTAAATGTATAAAGAAAGCAATGGAAATTTACTTATCAATACTAGTTCTTTATTAAATTTAAATACTGCTTAAAATAAATTTATAAAGCTATTGAATGAAAATTTTCTGTTAACATATTTCAGACATGTGTAAGGAGTAACAGATTAATTATTTCTAATATTATTACGTAATTTTCTTATAAAGGAATTAAAAAATAAAAACAAACAAAAGCTTCTTTAGAGAAATTATTCTACTATAAAAAACCATATACTACTGGAATTAACATCCCACTTTATCCAAAATTAAATAAATGCATTTTTAAGTGATAAATCAAGTTGTGCAGAAATATTGAATATGAATATATTCATCTTAATTATTTAAAAAAACTGAATGTGAAGATGGGAAAAATTAAGAGAAAAAAGCTTTGTAGATTATTTGCTAGAAATCTGACATTCTGAAAAATGAATACACGCATGCACACACTCTCACTCATATTTATATGCATAAAAAAAACACATATTGATAGATATAATTCACATATGATTAATTATATATTGAAAATATATGTATGTGAGCATGCGTGTGTATACACCCTCATGAGAAATTTTTAGTGAGAAATTTTGTAATGTTTGAGACATAAATTTATATTCCTTCTGGAACAGTAAGGAAATAATACTTTAAAGGAAAATTTCAAAAATAGTATCACTAGAACAAATTTACGTTGCGAAAGTAGTAAAATTTTTTTCATTCAAAGAACGCACTTCCTAACGCCGAATAGCAGAATGTAAACAAACGTCAGGAATGTGACATCACTCATGTGGGCGGAGTTAATGGTGAACCTTATCTGGATTGTCATTGGCCAAACTTAAGCCGTTGTCCTAGCAGTGTACATTTTGCTTATATGCGGTCGGGACCCTAAAAGTTCACCATTGGTCATACAGATATGCTTTCTCAACGCTAACTGTGCAATTCCGTGTAGTTTTGAGGATGAACACCCCGAAGCGGTTCGAGGGTATCCCCCGCCTCTTCCTCTATCACCAACCTTTCGAAAGAACGTTTGACTCACTGTTTATTTTGAGTGCCTCCTTGCCGCACGGACATTATACGCTTGCAAACGTCATGTCTTCTTCGAGATTTGAACCCAGATCCATCGGTGCGGCAGTCGGTGTCATTAACCATTATCCTCTATGAGATTACATAGCACTAGGATGCAACAGTCACATTCACTTCTCAGATACAGAAATAGACTAGCAGCACATAAAATGCCATCAGAGCGCCTGGCTCTTCTAATGTTCGTTCCTCCAGAATGTTATCCATTTCCAAGCTCTGATGCGCTTTGGAAAACGTGTGTAGAATATTTAAAAAAGTGTACTGTGTGGCGAATATCACTAAGAGCGATGTATCCCGTTGTCATCAGTTAATCTTATTTAGCAACTTCTCCGGAATCATAAGTTATCAACTCTTGTAAGGGAGACAGGGGTATGGCTCACTGACACTTTATATGAATGTACTGCTATCTGGTGACATCTTTTGAATTACTCAGGTCTTTTTCTTGTCATCCTACATTTGAAATTACTCAGGTCTTTTTCTTGTTATTCTACTGAATAGTTTGTAACCTATTCATTGGTTTTCCCTTACACTAGATTTTAAACAGCAGATTTTAGGTTTCATTTGTACATATCACATCTTCAAAACGCTACACATATATTCGCCTACATAGAACAGGCATCTTTCAAAAACCATTAGTCATTTCCCTTGTATAAACTAGAGATGTGCTGTTCACTCACGAACTATTTTAAAAAACTGACTCCCATTACTGAGCGAGAGAGCGCTGTTTCATCGAAAGAGAGTAGCTGATCTTTTAGAGTTCACCCACCGAGAGCTCTTGTTGGAAGAGTGCCAGGAAAGTTCATGTCCCATTTTAGAGGAGAAAAGAAAAAGTTGATTTTGGTTCCTAATTTTTCATGTTTATAGTAGATGATGTGCATTGCTATACCATCAAGAAAACGAAGCATTTCGAAATAATATTTTTTATTCGATATGGTAATGCTTGTCACAAAAAGTTCGGTTTATTAACAATCTGTAAGTTATAATGATATAAAGAGGCTTAATGTTTGCAAGCAAGTGTTAAGAGAGTTTAAGATGCATAAAAAAGAAATCATCAAAACTTCAAATGGTTGATAAATCAAGTCTTAACATGTATAGAATATCCCAAAGGTTAAACTGGTTTTCATAACCGTATTTTATTTCTTAATTAGGTTGCCATCAATCTGCAATACAATATTTTCGAATTTGATGACGTTATTTATCCCGACATGTACACGACGTTCCGTCTTGGACGATGCTTCCCATCCATGCAAGATAAATCTTATATAGTTCTAATCATAGATGGTAAGAAAGTTATTATTTTCCTGCAATAAGTAGTAATGGTTTTGTCATACTATTTGATAAATGCATTTTACCTTATCTAAACAAATTAGTTAAGAAATGAAATTCGCAGCAACAGTTTGTTTAGAGCACAGAGCAAATAGACGTTCTTTCATTTTTTAAAATTGCATTGTATTAGGAGAAAAACTAAATTTATTGTCGAACAAACAATATTTACGTGCTTCTACAAATATAAAATTGAAAATGAACAAAATATTCTTTAGAAATTGATTCTTTAGATATTTTATTTCAGACACTCTATAGAAATTGATTCTTTTGATAATCTTTTTTTTTTTATATATATATACTCTTTAGTAACTGATTCTTTTGATAATTTATTTTTCATATCCTTTTGTATCATCATATTAAATAGTGTCAAATAGTTTCCGAATAGCTAAAATGTTTTTATTAAAACAATTTCGTTTGGTTAGAGTTTGTTAGTTTGTATAGAATAAAAAAATTCCCCTCTAGATTTTCGTAAATATTTCCATACATTTATCCCTTCTTACTCATACGCTACTCAAGGAATATCCGAAAATTGCCCATCAGAAGGGTTAAGTACTTTCCCATCAGGGGAAAATCAGGGGTTCCCAACGGTGTCGATACTGACCATCCCCTGGGAATGGATAAAGTATTAAAGAGGATCAGTTTCTCAAGAGGTCCTGGGGGTCGATAAACGAATATGCAACGGCAATTGGTGAGCATAATCAAGATCCCAATGATTACAAAAGATTTAGTTATAAAACTGGTAATTAATATTTTATTGATATAAAGCTATAATATGTAGAAGGAAGAAATCTCATAATCACAAATTGTAACTGAAATTTTAAAAAGTAAAACGTATGAACGCAAAAAAGTTCAACCTTAGTAAATGCGTTTCTGTTGCTGAAAATGGAAGAAAAAAAACTTTTATAAACCAATATTATTGACTTTTCTTACCTTATTGAAGCAAGCTTTCTTCAAGTCAGTATTTTAATACGGAAAACAATAAACAGCTTGAATATTGCTGAACGAGATGTTTTATGAGGTAACCAGTTTCATGTCAAATGATTTTTTAAATCATTGCATTAGTACATCAAATGCAGCCATTAAAAATTAAACTGTGCAGTTAGAATCTGTGATTTCGTTTCTGAAAACTTGTCTATACTTGTAAAATTAATAATAATAAAATCATAAATCTGTTAACCAATTTTTAAAACACGTGTTCATATTCTTAGTCTAACTGTTAAGTTACTTACGTGCAATTTTATATTTGTATTTCTGTTATGTTGTACGCTATACATTATAGAAAAAATATAAGGTGGAGGGTCGATGAAGAAAACCATTCGCTTAAAACGGGTCGATGCAAGAAAAATATTGTGTAATCTATAGTTCTATGCAGATGATTTTCTTGCTTTTGTGAAGTAACTGCTGGAGAGACTGTTTTACAGTATGTCGCACATGCGCTCATGTTTACCTAAAGTGCTGCTCTTTCTGTTCTAACATATCCTGTAATTCGAAAGCTATTAGAATCTTTAATATCTAATATGCAGACGAGCTTATTACATAATAATAACAAAAAAGGTCTTCATTCCTTTGCAGCAATACAGGATACCCAAATTTTTTCTAGCATCGACCCCTTTTAAAGGAATTGTTTTCTTCATCGACCCCCCCTTATTCTTATATATGCAATATATAAGAATATAATATCTTATATATGCAATATATAATAATAATCCCCTTCTCTATAATATGCAATATACTATATAATCCTAATACAAATAAGTGCACATAAACCATTTAAAGATTTTATATTATATAACGTAATAGAAATTTGGAAGAATGGATTATTAGATTTATGTTAAATTATTTTTATTTTTTTGTTTTACAAATATAAACACGTTTTCAGAAACAAATATCACATATACAGAAGTTAGATTATTCCTTCGTTAAAAATATTCAGCCTGTTTCCATTTTAATTTTGCGCTCTTCTTACTTTTTCCTTTATTTATTTATTTACACATAGTGTTCATACATTTTTGCAACGATTTTGATTTATGATAATTGAATTTATATTTAATTTTAAAATACAAACGTGACTGGCAACCAATTGGGATAAGCTTTAATTATTGTCTATAGCATTAAAAATATTCTTTTCTTTAAAATGTCGCGGAAAAATGAACAGTGGACCGAAGGCTATATTTTTGTGCTGTCTGAAGAGAAATGCTGTTATTCAGGTATTAAACAAGATGTGAAAAGCACGGTTTTAATATTTCTACACGTAAAATAAGTGGTAAAATTAATATGAAAGGAAAGAAATGTCACACTTTCTCACTAAGAAAAAGGCAAAAAAATGCATACCTAACAAAGGTATACATATCTCTTATTAAAATAAAGTTGCATCTCATTAGTTAAAGGAAAATCTAGCCCCCCTAAGACCTATCGAAAAATTTTTAAATATCTCTGTAAGAATTATAAACAAAATTATAAAATCTGATTAAAAGCGAATCAAAACAAAAAAGCATGACGTTCATCGCCTAACGCCGAAACATGTTTCTCGATGTAAGACTATGTGCAGATTGCTGTATGAAAATTATTTAACAGGTGAAAAATGGAAATATATAAGTTACAGTTGATGAGGCTGGGAGACATTTATCTGTTTACAAAAGAAAAAGATCGATTTACTACCGAGAATGAGGAGAAAAAGACTTGATATGTCGGTTTAGAGAAAACAAGGAAAGATTTTCAAAAGGTTTTATGGTTATGACTGGATTCTAGTATAATGGAAAACCTAAACTAAGCAAAGTAGAAAAAAAATGTCATCACTATCAGAAATATGTTTAAACACCTATTTTTAAAAAAATAAATTCCACATCTTTAGAAATTCCGTGGAGGACTTATATAGGTTCAAGTGTAGCCCCTTCTGAGCAATTTTTAAGAGTGATATGATCGGAAAATGCCCGAAGCATGGGCCACTTAATTTCAGAAAGAGTTCGAGAAAGGGTGTTTTCGTTCCATTATAACAAGAGATATACGGATTGTGGTAAAAGAAAACGTTATCGTACAATGTTTAAGGGACAAGCAGCCTTAATGATCATGATCTTTGAAGATAAAGCTATATCGTACACACTAAGTCGTAGGTGAATGAGGAGTCAATAGACGGATTGTGTAGCACTCGCTTTTAACCATATGGGTTTCAGACGCCGAAGACGCCTCAGAGGTACCAACTTCTCACAACCATCACTCAGCGTGTTGTATGGCTTACAGAACTTTTTATGACTAGATTGCTGACGACTGAAAGGAAGTACAATAAAGAGATGAGTTTTTATTCCGATTAACATCAAGCTGGTAATAGGCTAAGAATAATGGCCCAGCTCTTTATTCAGGCTTAAGAGTACAGAACATCATGGTGACTCAGCGATCGTTTCGAGCATTTAGTACTTGTAGCTTGAAATCAAGCATATAAATCTATCTATTGGATGAAGTTTACTTACATCCCTTCATACGTTTGCGTTATTTGGATCGAAATGGAATAAGTAAGCTTCTGTAACAGATCCCGGTTGGCTATCACCCGGTTCGGCAAACATCCTACTGAATTCTTCTTGATGAAACAGCCACAAGCCTGTATTTAAATCCATTGAACAACTTTCGGATACTCTAGGAGAAAGATGCGTATCTATGTCATTCACAAATGGCATCCGTTACTGATTCATGGGAAATTCTAGACGGTTTTAGGCAAGTTAAACATGTGGAACACCAAGGGCAAAAGCAACTCGTAACTAATCAAGTATTTATAATTCAGTGACATTTCAATGAATATTTTTGTTTACGTACAATTAAATTACACACTATTGTGAACAAAAAAATTCTAAAGCCAATGACATCATCTGCCACCATTAATATTATGCCTATCCTCTTTTCCTTATGCTTTCGTGGAGTTTTATGTTGACATTTTGTGACAGGGATGAACAATCTGTTCCTCAATAAGCAAACATAACCTTTTTTTTTTTCAGATAGGATCCCCTTTAATCCGCACCTATTAAACACGAGTTGGCTGCATATTTTTTAATTTCTGATGATTCTTAAACTCGTAATCCTTAAATTAGTAGAGCTCTCATAATTGCTTTATTTAAAATTGTTTCACGTTTTTAAACTGAAATCTGCTACCAAGATTAAACTGAAATTCCTTTTTAATCATATAATTTAAAAATTTTTTAATTTCCTAAATATCTTTTCTTTTTAGCATTCAAAAACTTTAATACTAAATTTGAAGTTTTCAAACTGCAACTGTTTTTCATTCTTTAGACGAAAAAGGTTATTTTAGAAAATAAACTAATAGTCATATATAGTCAAAAATATCGAATAATTTGAAATTCCTTTCTACTGGGTATACTGCTCAACAATGGTGGCATTGCGTTAGTTGCCTTTTAAAAGGGTTACGAGAAAATCTCCCAGAAGATAGATAGATATGTAATTTGTTATAGTATATAATTTTGATTAATAGTGGTATACTCATTAATGTTTTCCTTTAATTACCGAAAACATTTATCGTGGATTATCCGAAAAAAGATGATATCCTAAAAGACTGTGCTTAGTTCAGATAAATAGAGTTCTGTTGTTCCACATATATAATAATAAATCGAACTACATATATTTTAATATCCTCATTGCATATTAAAGCTACTGTGAGAGCCTTATAATACTTTAATCCATGTAATCAAGTTCTTTCACTTTCTCATGACCCTTTCTGGCAATCGGATTTTTTCACTTTCTTTTTTATGATATTTTTATTCTTTCGCTTTCAACACATTTGTCCTGGAGCAGCATGTTTAATTTTCCCTTTGTATTCAAAAGTCTAATTTGTGTTTGATGTTTAGTTTTTAGCTAAATTCGATTTGACATACCTTTATGTCTAAAGAAAAGTTGTAGACCTATTAGGGTTTAAGGAGCAAGTAACTTGCAAAAGCAGCTATGCCCTTTCCCGAATTCGAAACCTGAATCTTGCGATTATAAGCCGGTGGGGCTACTAGTTACAGCGCTAGAACACACACGAGGTAATAATTCCTTATATACTTTTTCCACCCCACTCAAAGAACGACTAGGAAGGGAAGAAGGAGACGCAATTGGCCAAACTCAGGTGGGGACGAATTATCGTCCGCCGCCATTGTAGTCCGATGCCACTGCTAAGTATTATAGTTCTTCGGAGCAGAAAACACGAAACAAGCTATGTTGTCACCTGAAATGACCAGGTGTCCTGCCAATTACATCAAGAGAACGCGCACGGAGGAAGGTGATAATTCCTTACAAAGTGATCAACTACTTCTGTTTCAGACAAACCTATAATGGAAGCATCTAACAGCAATTGCAATTAGAGTTAATGTTTTAGGAAAGAGAGCTCTAATCGAGTATCTTAAGCCGCTAAACACTGGTAGCTCGATAAAGGTCTGTTCCTAGAGGCTAAATGGACTGTTTAATCTCCCCATACGTGATGTAAATATTAGTCAGTTTGAGCTAGAAAATCCCAAAAATCAATACTTTAGCTAGACGTTATGGATAACATTCCTTCTGATTGGAAAACAACCCTTGCGTGCTTACTCTGTATTTATTAATAATTGCAGATCCAGTTCAAAATACGAGTTAGATATCGAAATGGCTTTCGACTGTAAATTGTCACGTAATTTTAGTAATAATATCTAAATACCTAAAATATAAGCATTAATTACAACAATTATCGCAATATTGAGTATTGTAATATGCAGGAAAGTTTTATTTTCAGTAGGAATACCTAAATCCCTAAACAGAAAACATCAATTACAGCGATAATTTCAATGTAGAATAGTGAAATATGTAGGAAATTTTCTAATCTATTGTGTATACCTACAAAGAAAATATAAGTAAACATTGACGTAATTTCCTTTATTATTTAATATTTGTACACATTTGTACTTTTCAATTTCTTTTTTTTTTTAATTTAGATCGCCCAGCTTGAATGTGTAACAGTTTTAAGAACATTAACAAAATTATAATATTAGACATAATGGTGAAAGTTGTGGATGTAGTGTAACTCAAAACTATCACCTGATATCTTTTCCGTTTTGCAGCAACCCCACAACTGGGTGCTTTGATGGAAAAACAAGACGATTTTGTCATCGAGGAGTTGCGAAATCAAATTGTCAAACATGCTAAAATATCCAATATGAGAATTCCCTTACTGAGAGTAAGTACATATATTTTTTGTCATATGTCAGATTATGTTCCTTAATTCTTATGCGAATCTTAATAACTCATCATGATGTACTTTTCATTATCGGTGAAACATTCCTTTAAAGCTAAATTCTACTTTACATTTGTTAAGAAATTACGGAGGAATTGTTTGTTCACATTTCATGACGACTTAACCCTTTCAGCCCTAAATGTTTTGTAAAAAAATAGTAATCTGCAAATATTGTTTAAAGGTATCAAAACTCCCTTGCAACATATTAAGGAGCTCCTAATTGAGTTGTAGAAATTAGGAAGTCGTAGCAAGTTAACGTCAGGTTTCGAGGTGAACAGTCGAGTGGGATAACATATGCAGACAAGTTGCTAGATAAGATCTGTAGCTGTGAATAGTGAAACAATCTCTACCGCCGATGAAGTCGACCTCCAATCTATGAAGGTAGCAAAAGTCAGTAGGGTCGAAAGAATCAATATGATGACGGAATTCAACTAGCTCGCCATAGCTTTTTTACAAAGCTCAACTAGCTCGCCATAGCTTTTTTACAAAGCCCTATAATAGTAATTTTCTGTTATAAACTTCCTATCAAAAGATTACATCCATCTCGACTTTCAATGGACGTAATCTTTTGACAGGAAGTTTATTAACAGAAATACAACAAGAAAGGCTTTGGAATTTGGGGTAGTAGTCGTTTTTCTCTAAGACTGCGACTCCAAATTCCCAAGTCCTTTTCTGCAAGTGATCCTCATTGAGAGATATTTATTCTCATTTTATGAGATAGTCGTTAAGAAACGTTCGATGTGTGGGGTTTCACTGTATGTAAGTAACTTTATTTCTACTGAGATACTCAGGCGAGTTTGGCCTGTCTGTAAATAACAACTAATTCATATAAAGGTTTAAACAGCCTTTTTATTTAAAACTTTAAGCTGAAGAATTGATCTATTTATGTTTGCAATTTAAATCTCCTCGATTATTAGTGGAATATCGGTTAACAAAAATATGAAGTTAAAATTTAAGTTATTTAAATTCACTAAATACTGGAGACTGCAGTGCAAACAACCAACTCGTGTTGGTTCAAATTATTAAGAGCCCGAGTGGCTACCAAAATGGCTAACGCCAGATACAGCAAAAGTGATATTACAGTTACTGCGAAAACCTTTGTCTTAAATACTCGTACTTCATTTACATTCTGGTGACAGCAAAAGAAAAAAAGAAATGGCAATACAGTTCTAAATAAAGAGAAAATAAAAATAAATAAATAAATAAACTTATTATAAGTTAATGCACCTTATAAATAAGTTTCTCTTATTCTGCAGTAATATTTTCAACAGTTAATACCTGCACGTGATTTAGCAATAAGGGGAATAAACACTCCGGACGCTTTCACGTTCAAGAGGAGCAATCTCTTAATTTATATTATAAGGTACTCTCACTTTCCTAGCGTGCCTTCATGGTGTAGTGGTCAGCACACTGAGCCGGTATTTCAGAGGTCCGTGGTTCGATTCCCGGCGAAGGCGGTTGCTAATATTTCATCTCTCCGGCCTAAAAAAAAATCGTAATATCTCTACAGTGGCGCGCGAACTATAAAGGTTGTGGATATGGCGATTGGATCCCCTGAAAAACCCAGCCGCCCTTTAAAAAGGGGGAGTACATAAGGTATTTCTCCCACCTTCTTAGCGTGCCTTCGTGGTGTAGTAGTTCTGCACACTGGGCCCGTATTCCAAAGGTCCGTGGTTCGATTCCCGGGGAAGGCGGTTGCTATTTTACATCTCTTTTGCTTCCAAAAATTACATAATGTCTCTACAGTAGCGCCCGAATTAAAAGGGTTGTGGTAATGATTCTCCGCACCCAAGATTTGGCGACTAGGTCCCCTAAAACCCTAGTCGCCCTTTAAAAAGGGGAGTATATAAGGTATTTATCCCGCTTTCCTAGCATGCCTTCGTGGTGTAGCGGTTCTGCACACTGGGCCGGTATTCCAGAGCTCCGCGGTTCGATTCCTGGCGAAGGCGTTTGCTCATTTTTCATCTCTCCGGCGTTTCCAATTAACCTAATATCTCTACAATATATAAAGAATACTTAATTTATACATAAAGAATACATCTCTTAATTTATATATAAAGAATGTTCAAGAAACACTAATTTAATTAAATAATCACAAAGATTAACAGAAAGTTACTTTAAAAATTAGCGGTGGCCTTTGTTGTTCATAATAAGATTATAAATACCATTCTTTATTGAACCCTGCCATCCTATGAACTTAGTTCGATGTTTAACCTCTTTTCGAACTTGAGTACCTCTACAGATTCGTAATGCTTCTTTTCGGAGCATAACACAGACCACCAATGTTTATGTATACTGTATAGATATTACATAGTTGTTACATTGTTATGTATAGATATTACATAGTTATGCGAGGTATCTGTTAATTATCACTGTATTATCACTGAAAACATATCAAAATATACACTCATGTCCATAAATTAAGGATAATTCGGAGTGACGCGGAAATCGAACTCTAAAATAAATATATCGCCTGTAAAATCACTACACACATCTTCAAGAATCATATGCAAATTTTCAAGGAAGTAACCAGATGACACCGATGGTACGTCACAATGACGAGAGTGTAAGAGAGTGATATATAAGGAATACAGGCAAAGAAGTAAAATTGTTCGCAGGCGCTTTATAAGCATTTCAGTGCAATAACCGAATAGTTATGACACAAAGGACGCATTTGATGATGTTTTTTTTTTTTACGTGGTAGAATTATCGGCCGTCTGGAATGTGGGCGTACCCAACTGGAAGTATCAGACAAACTTGGAATTGCCCAGAGTCATCTCCAGGCTTTGGCAACGATTCCAAGATGATGGTAATGTGAGTAGACGTTACAGCACAGGTCGCCCCAGAGTTACAACGCCGAATGAGGACCGGTATTTGGCAGTTACTGCCAAAAAAAACAGGTGGAGCACACAGCCTGAGACCTGCCTCGTCAGCTCTCTTCAGCCACTGGTACGACAATTTCAAGGCAGACCGTGTACAGACGCTTAGGGCAGATTGGTTATATGCTCGTAGACCTGTCAGATGCGTTCCACTTACTGCAACTCACTGTCGCCTGCGGTTAGCCTGGAGTAGAGAGCATGCATTTTGGACACCGCAACAGTGGGCTTGTGGTGATGTTTTCCGACGAGTCCAGGTTTAGCTTGCAGTCTGATTCTCGCCGGACTTTCATATGGAGAGCTCCAGGTATTCGTTACCACCAAGAAAACATCATTGAACGACACCGTTACGGTGGTGTAGGAGTGCTCGTTTGGGGTGGAATTATTCTGGGTTCCAGAACTGACCTTCATGTTCAAATTGGAACCATGACAAGCCATATCTATCGGGACGTCATTCTGGAACAACATGTACATTTGTTTCGGGGTGCCATGGGCGACACAATTTGTTTATGGATGACAACGCCCGTCCTCACCGTGGAAACATCGTAAGCGAATGCCTTAAATCGGAGGATATGGATCGGAGGATACGTAATCGGAGGATACGTATGGACTGGCCAGAATTCTCACCGGACTTGAATCCAGTAGAGCACGTGTGGGACATGCTTGGCCGACGAGCTGCAGCCCGTCAACGTCCTCCTACATGTCTACCGGAACTTTGGAGAGCATTGCTTTTTGAGTGGTGTAATATCCCCCAAGATCAGATCGATAATTTGATACTCAGCATGCCTAGGCGTTGTACGGACTGTATTGCATCGTCTGGGAGACATACAATGTATTAACAATCATACCAACCATGTAATATTGGTTTTTGTAAAAGTTTTTTTTTTTTTTTTTTTTTTTTTTTAAATTTGCTCCAGGGAGAAAAAATCGCTGATTTTTTTAATTATATCAAATATATAGCATCTGTTTTTGCTCTTTACCTTTTGTTTAATAAATAAGCTTTACAAATAAGTCAAATTTGTTTTGCTTCTAACTCTTCCTTTGCCTGATTTTGCATTATCCTTAATTTATGGACATGAGTGAATTTATTTCAATTAATTTTAAAGATCATTTCATATTATACTATTACTTTTTATTGACACAGAATTCTATGCAACTTTTTTTTGTTTACTCACTACTGTACAATAAAGTAGCCCAGAAAGAATGAGAAACACTGGAACAGCCGTGTGACAAAAGTTTTGTTTTAAATATTTCAAACGGTTGGCTATCGCGCAAAGAGTGATTTGCAACTCCAAAAATGATTGTCTGAATGACGTTTCGCCCAAATGGAAAGAACTGTGTTTTTTAAAAACGGACAAGGAAAATACGGCCCAAAGCTTTGGTTACGTTACAACACTGACTGAAATTATATCCATGAAAATAATAATACTTTGTAAATTTTAACTGATTTTAAAACCAAACCTATTAAGTAAATGTACCTTTCGCATTTGATGATAATAAAATCATGTACCTAAAAATAAAGTCTTTGAGTAACAAGGACAGTACAGTAATAGAAGCAGATTGCAGATTTAAAATCAAAATTACCAAAGGGAATTAAAACAGATGGAACATAACTATACTTATACATGTTATTTCTGTCTATTTGTTGCTCCTCGAAATTTTGGCAATATCTAAATACAATTCGTATACGAGCGCCCGACGATTTTAATTGACATCAATTCTAATCAAGAGTATTTTGATAGAAAGTATATTTTTAATGCATTTAGCTAAAAATAGCGTAATTTCCACAACCGAAGTAGTAGGAAAATTTTTCTTTTTAATCAGCACAGCAACAAAATACACATGGAATTATCTTTTTTCAATTAAGGTTTTACGATTTAAAAGATGGCGTAAGATTAACGTTCAATTCGTTTAAATTTGTATTTGCTTTAAAAATCCCACCCTGTCATCACTTAAAATTGTAGGGCTGAGACAGTGAAGAATTAAATCTTTAAAATTCTATTGCTGTTACAGAAAGAACTTAAAGACTGAAGGATTTTTGAAAAACAAAATGATATAAAATTTGGCAATTTTGTTTAAAAAGGATGAAATCCTTAAAAAATTATTTTTTGATCTCTTCGATGACGTTAAGATCAAAATTTTGCAATGATTAGTTTTGAACATTGTGCAAGGATGTGTAAGAAAAAATGGAATTCTAAATGAAGTTAAAAGTTTATATCCAGTTCTGAAAATTTTTTGTAAAATATAGTACTGTCATTGCAAACACGTCTGTATAAAAAGTTTTAAAAGACTGGATTTGTAGAAAGTGATTCAAAATTAGTTTCATGATTTAAACCTGAAAATCAGTCAGAGAAACAACGTTAAATAAAATCGAATTTCAATTTCTAGCATAAGAAAGCTGTAATTAACGTGTATACTTCAGCTAAAATTAAATTCCATATATACCTATAAAAGAACTCTCATGTGACTTCAGATACGATATTAATTTGCAGTGGCTCTGCGAGCGTCGCCCACGAAGGACATCCCTATTTATGGATCGTTCCAAAGACAACACAGTAATTACAGGCAAGGGCCTAGATTTTTATCCTCCCCCATATAGTTCACCCATAAGCGGCAATCCAAATAATGTCTCATACGCAAGGAATCCCGTTTAAGGGGCGTCCGAGGGGCTGGTAGAAGCGCGATGAAGATCGAGCTGAGACCAGCCTATTAAGAGTGGTTGGACCAAGGAGCGGAGTACCTTTGCAAATTAATTGTAATTACCTCCACATCATAATTAAGAAGAACGAATTAAATATGTGTCAGCATTAGCTAAATAGTAAAGAAAGAGAACCGTTACGGGTTTAACACAGGAGCTGAATTAAGAGGTCCTCGTGGGACAAAAATTGAAAAGCGTCAAACTGAAGAACAAAAGGTCACAAGTTCTGTCCTCAAGCCGGTAGCATCGGTTTAGATTAACGGAGATTTCACAACCACCCTCAGTTGGCAAACATCGCCATTAAAATATTTAGTTAAACCAAACCAGGGAGCAACTGGTTCATAATGTCGATTATAGATGGTGTCACGAGACCGTAAGTTCTCAAATCAATCAGCAATGGACACACCTAACAAACTCCGCTGCAAGCTTTTATCAGGATCTTAAGCACCCATATACCATCTCTCTAAATTTTATTCGCGACGTAAAATGTCGTAGCATCTGATGCGCACTATAGGAGAATGCGCTGCTTGGAGATATTTATGTAATTATAAGATATTATAAATATATTCACTTTTAGTTACACTACTGTTTAATTGGGAATGTAATTCATGTCGTTGGAGCATGACTGTTTGATGTTTAGCTAAATTACATGTTTATATCCAGTTTGATGTTAGCTAATTTTGTTTTAGGCGGATTATAAGTCATCAGGAGTTATCATCACTGGGCTGATTTTGGACAGGCCACCAGCACTCAGTAAGTTCAGAGATTTTTAAAATATATTTTAAAAAACAATTGATTCAGACTGTTTCAATTTACTGATAACAAATACTTGTTGTTGAAGAAATGGCTAAAATGCTTGATTTTTTTAATGTTTTTTTGGTAACTTAATTTCTACAACAAAATATTCATGCAAATGATCTTACACTTGGAAATTATGCTATATAAATTTGAAAATATTTTCTCAGTAATCTGAACGGAATTTTTGGTAGGTATCAAAAGTGAAAATGCTAAACTGCGCTATTAGATCGTTGCATTTAACTGAATTAATTTACTTGAAATTTCTTTCGTACATAATCATTTCAGTAAAAAAAAAAAAAAAAAAAAAAAAAAAAAGCTCTTAAATAAAATGATAATTTTTTATTTAATTGACGCTTTTCTCTTAAAGAGATTTTGAAATACTACAAACTGATTTAATGTTTAAAAGCTTTCTTTTCCCCCTATGATCATAACTATTGAAGTGAAAATGAAAATATTCTGGAGGTATGTTCTTTCAGAATGAACAATTCGCAGCCTACTTTTCCTAAACAGAAAACAAAATAAATAATTCCAAATGAACCAAACTCCATTTTTTTAAAGAACTATTTATTGCACTTACTTTACATGAAAGGTCATTGGAAATTTTTAAGACTGCTTCTATTTACTTTTTTCGACATTAAGCATAGCAATCTTGTACTGGATTTTGTGAAGGTTATCTATCGATGTACTAACCCCGCATTTAGATAATCGTGGCATTTAGTATTTGGCCATAGTAGGTAATCTGAATACGGCAGAAAAGAAAGGGCTATTTACCTAAGAGAAAAGATGCCTTCATGGCGAACTTCTTAAGGAAACTACCGGTATTCAGTGGTCTTACAAGTTCTCGTCTAGCTGTAGAGAAAAATGACATTTAGTATTCCGCCATAAAGTAACGAAATGGGAAACAAGTAGGCAGATTTCAGCGTCCATTACTACTTCAAAGCCTAGGGACCAGATAATTCATCATACACCAGTCAAAAATTTCTCAAGATACCATAAGGTATTTCTACCACCTTCCTAGCGTGCCTTCGTGGTGTAGTGGTTATGCACGCTGGGCCGATATTTCAGAGGTCCGTGGTTCGATTCCCGGCCAAGGCGGTTGCTAACTTTCCATCTTGCCTGCTTCCAAAAAATACCTAATGTCTCTACAGTGGCGCCCGAATTAAAAGGGTGTTGGATGAGGTTTCTCCACACCCGAGATTTGGCGATTGGGTCCCTTAAAAACCCCAGTCGCCCTTTAAAAAGGGGAGTATATAAGGTATTTCTCCCACTTTCCCAGCGTGCCTTCGTGGTGTAGTGGGTCTGCACGCTGTGCCGGTATTCCAGAGGTCCGTGGTTCGATTCCCGGCGAAGGCGATTGCTACTTTCTCAACTTGCCTGCTTCCAAAAAATCATAATGTATCTACAATACAATGAAGATTCTATAGGGTTATACTGTATCTAAAAGCTCATATATTCTGTTGGGATACACTGTATCTGGATGTATCAAAGTCCTGCAGATCCTACTAGGTAGATAAAGAGTTATCGCTTAGTCTGAAACAATTCACAATTCGCTTAGTCTGAAACAGTTTTGAGGAGGTTAAAATAACCTTTTTTACTTAAATTTACCTCTTTACCCTTAAATGAAAAGAAAGGCACAGCTTGTGAGACAAATGAATCTTCGTACGTAACTTTATTTACGTAACTGATTTAAAGTAACATAACAAAAATTTTAATTTCAAATGCAGATAATAGAATCTCAAACAATATGTAAAATAGGCTGCTTAAGCTGGCTCAGATAGTTAACGGCTTTATTTTAAACGTCAGGTAACAAGACACTAAAACTGAAATACAACCTAAACAGATCTGGCGACAGTAAGTGACAGCAAGACGTTCTGTCGCAAGCTGTAATCTCTACAGTTTAAGCACACACAACTAATTTGGAGTTTGGTTACGAAAATGAGAACTTATAGTAAAGGTTTGTCAAAATTATTTGTTAAATAAAATAAATACCTTATAACTTGAAAACTCAATTCAAAATTTCAGAGCTCCATGTTTTTTTTTTTTTTTTTTTTTTTTTTTTTTTTTTCACTACATGTACCCTCTTCAATGATTCCAATGCCTAATTTGTGAATTTGTGAAAAGCACCTAATCTAAAATAATGAGTATGGTTATGAATGAATTTCTTATAAAACAACAGTCGGAGACGTGAAACACAATCTTATTGTGTTTAGTACCTGCCTCTCGCAGAAGACTCATCAAACCTCATCTACGACAGAAGAGTTAATACTCTGTCCTGCACTAACTGGTTTATCGACATCTTATATATGAGAGAATATCACAGGAATCAAAGAATCACTGCATACAAATTATGAATAAAATTATTGAGCATAAAATGTGCTGTTTGCTTTTAAATCGAACACGACGTACTTTTTCTTATGTAATGCAATTTAAGAGATTTTCTTTAGTAATATAAAAAAAAAACTTTTTTTTATTGTAGAGCAGTTTTGGTTTGAGACTGAAGGTGAAGTTACGGAAGATGCTTTTAACTTGAAACCTGTCGCTGATGCTGACACGAAGGAAAAATGCGCTTATGCTTGCGTTGATGAATCAAACTTTATTTGCAAGTAAGTCAAAGTACAACTCCTGCCTTAATTCATTATCCACTTAATTTATATTTGTGATATTAATAAGGAGTCCAAGAGCATGTTCTGAACCTTTGTAAAACATCAAAAAAGGATAAGACTATGTTCTGAACCTTTGTAAAACATCAAAAAAGGATAAGATTATGTTCTGAACCTTTGTAAAACATCAAAAAAGGATAAAAACCATGTTCTGAACCTTTGTAAAACATCAATAAAGGATTTTTAAGTTTACGGACATCTGGACTTCAGCTCGAGATTAACCCACAACCTTAAATACGCGGAGAAGTGTTCTACTAAATGAATTATCCAGAGCTAATTAACTAGTTCTGCACAATTCCAACTTTACTATTAGACCCCAAATAATTTTACATTTCCTAATATAACCTTAATTTTCTTGAATGAGTCCGTCATGCAATTGGTAACATCATATAAAACAATTTTGAAGAATCAAGAATGTTCCCTGTTAAGAAGTTCCATACGTGTATCAGCTTGAAAAGTATCTGTACATTAGAGAAATTTATGAACCTAAAAATGTTTTTATACCAATCATGAACGTTAACGTGAATGCTTAAATTTTTAATGTAAATGTCCTTTAAATACTTCTTTATTTGTTTCCATGCATTTAGTGTTATTTCTTCAATCAATATTATCTTTCATTATTCTGTTTAAAATAAATTATTATCAGAAAACAGTAAGATGCATTGAACTTTGTTGATTTGTATAAACTTATAAGTGTACAGCATCCTTTGATTAACTACTGTATTTTAAACTAACACCCATGATATAGTATCTGCCTTTATAATACATACACATCTATACACCCTCTGCCCCAAACGTTAAAAAACTGGATTATTGCAAACTGGAGAAAACTTAAGATCAATATTTTAGTGTTTCAGGTGTGCTGCACAGTTTCTTCCCCCACCACCACCACTTCAATACAACACATATAACTATATGAAACTGTCAGAAATGTCCCTGTTTAGAATGCCATTCAATTTGCGCATTACTGTGACTTACATGTGAGGTACGTCATGATAGTTTTGAGCCTTCATGTGAAATTTAAATTTCGGGAATAAAAAAAGGTCACTTGTAGCCGAATCAGGTGAACATTAAGCGCTGTTAAGAACTGGCACACATTTTTTTCTCCTAGAAACTGCACCACAACTCCAGCCGAGCAAGCGGCCGCATTGTCACTCAGCAAGAAATTTCTCTCTTTCCGTTATTCAAGATGAACCCGTTGAATCCTCATGCATAACTGATTTGTGTCACCCGGGATCTGCGTTTCCAGATTTTATCCCGGCTATGATTATATGACAGGAAGAAAATCTGCTTTAGATAGACGGTTTATATGCATATATATTAGTTTCTACCATTATATAGAAACAATAAATATATCTTTGAAATCTCTCGTAAGCAATAAGAGCGTAAAACGAAAAAAGGCTCATCATTAATAAAAAAATGAGTTTTGAAGCCACAATAGGCTCCTTCCAAAGATTGAGCTGTACGGAGTCATGATACCATTCCTCATTTCTGATAGTGGGTAATTCAGACACATTATTTGTGGTGCTAGCTGTGAAGTTTGGTGAACTATGCTTGTGAGGGAGGTTAACGTCAAAATTTGAACTGTCAGGCTTAATGGAGAACATTACTCGAAAATGAACCTAGACAAAGCCACAGGGTAGTAGTAATTAAATAAGAAATTTGTGCAAAAGTCGAGGAATACGAGATAGAAGATTACAGTAGGACAGTTTGCCAGACTGCAACGAAAATAGAACGTCGATTCTTAACTGCTATAAGAAAATCTTGTATGGAATGCTGAAGATAATTTTTACGCACAACCGTAAAACTGGGAACGAAACAAGAGGACACAGTGAACCTCTCTTACCAGTAAAATTCAGAACTCAGAAATCTGTTCGAACTACTTTGGGCACTAATTTTAGGAAGATGGAAAGAGTTTGTTACTCATTGATTACATGCTACTTAACACCAAGGAAACGGATATTATGTTAATATGTTGACTAATCTCTGATTATTATACTAATTTGTTGACTCATCACTAATAGAAACCACAATTTTTCTTAACGGGCAGTAACGTGTTCAAACTTACATTTGCAACTTACCTTGGGCAGCTATTTCAAAGGACTCTTCTGCTGCGCTCAAGTTTACCACCAGACATTCGCCAACAGTTAATTACCTACATCGAGCGCGAATTCATTGTTTCGCGCTAATAAGGGCTATACTAAGTTAATCTTCTTTATTAGCAGAGATTATTATTATTATTCACAGTGAAGTTTTGATGGAGGAGAAAGCTTCATGTTCTACAAAGAAGCTATATGCAATTCTGAAATGGAATTTATTGCTTTTGACCAGAAAAGGATTTATCAGGTAACGGGTATTTTTGTTTCCATACGCAATGTAATCATGATTAAAGCTTTTTTAGCAAACAAAAAGATACTGCTTTCTTCTCTCTAAAGTGATGATACATCACGCTGGGGGATAAAATTTCAGCAGCAGTTGGAAATATTCAGAACACATATTGATTTTTTGTGAACTCTGTGTTAAAATTTTCTAGATTTATTATGCATACGTTAGAAATAACGTATGCGCAGATTTTATTTCGCATTACGGAACCGGAAAAGTACTATGAAAATCAGAGGTGGTGATGGTTACGACTATGTGTTGAGTTATCGAAAATTGACTATAGAAGCATTTCTGGAAACATATTCATCCTTTCAAAATTGAAGTCACAGTTTTCTGTAGTCATCATACGAAATAAAGAACATTAAATAAATTAGGGAAAAATTTAATTAAATTAAGAAGCGTTAAAATATTTCCTCGAAGAACCTCATGAAATACTTTATCACCATGTGGCAAAACACATACGCACACACACACATATATACATATATATTACTTTTACTATGTTTTAAATACACCTTAATTAGTTTAGCATATTGATTACTATTAGTATTGATTTTTACTTGTAAATAATCAAATGTTATATTTTTCTCTTTTAACACATTTCATTGCAACTTATTTTCTTATGTTAAAGTTTTCCCGGAACTACAGTATTTCAGCGGCTTTTTAGCGTTCGTACTAGATTTTTCTTTTAATTTTTTAATTTTGCAGCACAATGCGCAAAGTTTTTGACCACATAGGTCTTTTATTGTTTGTTCTTTCTACTTTACTTTAAATTATATATATATATATATAATGTTCAGAGCAGCATTGTAACTGTACACAATGTAATCAGTAGAATAGAGTTGTTTATAAAATTTGTGTTGTTAATTATTTAAAATAATTAAACTACAGTATTGCATCAATATGATGAAGCATATAAATTTAAGATTTCCTTTTTTGGTATAAATCTTTGTAATTCATATTTATTCCTCGTGTCAGATTTATGATTTAATTTAGTAATAGACACTAAATTCCTCATTATTAACTCGAGCATTTCCTCTCAATATTCTAAAAACAATAATAACTTTTCTGACCTGCATCATTTCCATTCAATCTATGTCACATAGCTTGCGTAACTTTGATAGCGTAGCTAATTCGGAACCTGAATTCAAAATTTCAATTACTGAAAATTTTATCTTAATAAGCAACCTAAACCAACACCTTCTCTTGGTGCTCCTCTGTATTGCATAACTGAACACTTTTGCTTCTACTTCTGTTCTGCTTGAAAGCATTTTATTCTGCTTTCTTTATATCGCAACAATATCAAAAATATAAACATTCTAGAAATAGGTACGATTAGAGTGCCAAGCGAGTTCTGACCACAAATGACAATTGAAATAAAAATGAAATTTAATCTTTCTGGGCGACTAAGTTTGCTGTCTATTACGGATTCAACATTCTGCGTTATATCCCATTAACATTTATTACGTCTTTTTCTGTTTTCGTTATAATATATATATATATATATATATATATATATTTCTTTTCAACATAACATGTAATTAAATTTTGTATCATATAATGTATCCAATAAAATATAGAGCGTTTTTATGTAATTTGATATTTTATTACTATAGCAATAGATTTGTAGCATTAGTTCTCTACAAAATATATCAATCTTCCGTTTTCGTTTTCATGAAATTCTTTATATAATTCACATTTATTCTTAAAAATATTAAATTATTCTTTATTTTATTTTCATAACAGATTTTGATATATTATCTGCAAAATGATAATTAAATCATATATAATGTAAGCTATACTTTCTGTTTTTAAACAATGCATATTTACACATTTTAAAAAATATTTTAGAGGTTTCTATTTCTGCAATGAGGCTTGTTTCTTAAAATCGAAAGACCTCTTGGATCCATCAGATAGCGATGAAAAGAAAGGAACCTTAGGCCAAAAATGTCAGACTTATGTCAGTAAGTAAAGTTTAAAATTAGTTATGCATAAAAAACCACTAAGTATAAAGAAGGAATTTAAAGAAATAAATAAAAGATACATTAAAATTGTTTGAAGTAAATTCGATTCTTCCTCCCCAATGATAAATATTCCTCTTAACTTTTTCTTCTTCACAGTATAGTTTTTACTTTGATGAAATAGATGTTTCTAACTGGAACATATAAATGCTTAAAATGCTTAGATATACTTACCTACAAACTTATTTAAGCATTTTTCATGGTACATACATATGATAGTGCATAAGATTCTTAAAATGTCTAAAACAGAGGTTGCAAGATCGAATAAAAAATGAGGCTATTAAGCAGTACGGTCCACTTAAACAGCTAGCTCCGAATACTGGAAATAAGGCAGCTTACGATTCCCTATGATGATCGGTTCTACTCCTACAGCAACGCTGTTTTCGGGTTCTAAAGGGTTCTAGAAGGAAAAGGTGAGTTGCATTCGTCCTTCCAAGAGCGATCCAATCATATCCTGCTAATTTTAAGTCTGCATATCTGGTTGGCTAATCTACCTGATTAATAACCTCCCTTTGCAGATAATAATTTATTAATTTAGTCCTATGTGAACGAACGTTGTAGTCCAGAAAAATGAACTGAGGGCCATCTGCACCCCTGAAAAGAGAAATATAAGGCTCTAAGATCTCGTCTATTTGCAAAGCCTGCCGTTTGCATTTCACTCACTTGTATGCACAAGAGCTGGGGGCCGTTTGCATACCACTCACTTGTGAGCATTTAGTACGTTGCAGAGAACATCGACTTTGGATGAAATATCAGTGAAGGATTGTATTTTCCATGCCTGAGTCCTGGTTCAGTCTAGCCATTGGTTGTCAATGGTCAGTGTACATTCTTCTGGAGAGAACTCAGGACCACTTATCTATTCTCCAGCATCTCAGAGAGGAAGTAAACACCAAAGTTTGCTGGTTTGGTCGTCATGTTCGACAGATGCACAGATCTTCATGTCTTTGACAGAAGCTAGGTGTTTGTTGGGAAGTGTAGAATTAGATCTTAGAGACGTATTTTCGCCTTTAAAGGAATGCATTTTGCCCTCAGTTCATTGTATAGTATATGCTTATGCATTATGTCCACCTATGTGTATACCAAGTTTTTTAAAATCTGTTCATCAGCTTTGGAAATAATCAACTAAGTGTGAAAATTCTCTTAATTTTGAACACCAGGGTAAATCGACTTGCATTCCAAATATATCAAATAATTTCCATGAACCTATTAAAACTCAATTAAAATAATTGAAAATATGTCAATTTTTTGCGCTGCTTTGAAACTGGTTATTTTTAATTTAAGAAATTAAAAATTTTAATGGGAGGTCAGTTTGAGCTCACGGGCCATTTTTATTTTAATACATACACCTCACTGGTTTAATTACTATGAGCTTATTTCATAAATGGGTTTAAGTTAATGAAATAATGAAAGAGGCATTTGTTTTCGAATAATGACAATCACGACTTAAAATTATTATAATTATTATTTAAAAGTCTCGAACATTTAGGACAGACGCCTTATCTGCCAAAATAAAAATATTCTTATTCGTACTTTGCAAAGCCGTGACTTCAAATTTTTTATCACCCATAAATCAGCTGTCGAAGAAATGAAAAATAAAGTCTTAGGCCTCTCTCTAAATTTAGAAAAATCAACTAGTTGTCAGGGCTTTTATCAAATATTTTACTTAGATTACACAAAAAGTAGAAAAACTGGTAAAAACCACCGAGTGGATTTCGACAGGTGTACTCCTTTCCAAAGACATTGTTTCATTACTTCATGGGTCATTATTTCCTTACTATCTTTATGATATATGTTTGTATATCTTTTTAAATATAATATACCTAATCATACAATTAACAGGCTCACTAGTGACGAAATAGATAAGATTGCTTAAGTCTGATAGTTTGACCTAAATTCGAATCCGGAGGAATAAGTTTGCTGCATTGCGCTTTCACAGTTCTTCACATGTGTAAAGTGAATTCCAGCCAGTTTCTCTTAATTCTTCATAAAGGTATCTTTCTGTTTAGGCAAAGAGCTTTTAAGGGCTTTACCACATTAAATTAAACAAACAAACTCTATTTTGAAAACGTTAAACCATGAAATTTTATATTTTATATTTAAGCCATAACTTAGGCTTTCTCATCGTTGAATTGTCGAACCCCAATATGCTCATTACTTGTTAGAATGACACTGAAAGCTACGTATAGTAAATTTTCTTGTTGTAACAATTATTATTCTAAAATCGAAACTTTCGAAAATTTATACATTATGTGCAGAGTGAAAGAGCAAGATAGAGAATGTTTTGATTATCGTTTTCTATAGATAAAAGAACACAACGGTATGATCTGATGTCAGTTAAATATGGCGTTATATAATTTGAACACTTTTGCTCTGAGTTCCTCTCCTTTTAAAACACGGTTAGTTTTTTCAAACACATATTTTCGCGTTCTATTGCCAAAAGCTAGGTATACATATATGCAAATAACTTTCAAAGAATTGCAATTTCAAGAAACAGTTCTTGATGTCGCGCACACCTTCCTGAAAGATATACTGAATCATTTTGATTTTGTGTAAATTTGTATTTGTGAGTTTTATTTTCATGCAGAAATGATCTATGCCTTGAACCTTTTAAAAACCTCTAAGCATAAAAAAGGCATTTCATTAAAGAATATACAAGTTTTTTGTTTAGATAACGCGAAGTTTGATGTAGTTTTTTATTTTATTTTTTTATTAATAATGTATAAAATAACTAGAAAAAGCGTACAATTTTAGCCTGTAAAACATTTTATTCTTACAATATCTGGGCATCTCCTATACAGTATCCCATTGCTTCAATTAGTGGCAACAGAAGTTTAATAAAAATATAATTATTCAACAAACACTACTTTTTAATTCACAGACACAACAAACAACATTACCGTTACAACTTATAATATAATAAAAGATTTAAAATGTAAAGTTTTCATCATTATTACATTAAAAATGCAGTAGAGCTGGAAATTCAAACTTTTAGATTATAGACAGTAGTAGAACAAACTACTACTGTCTATAACCTTAAAAAATCTTCTTCGCAACTAAATTTAGCCAGTAATCAGCTATGCCAGAAATTTAAATACTTTTATATACTATATGTGAATGTAAATCTCATTCTACTATTTTTCAAACAGGACAATGTATGTTTCAACAATTTTTCAACAGCTCATTTTCTTGCTGTTTAGTAAGTAACTCTTGGATTACAGCAGTAATCTCTTGCATTATAATCAGCGTTGTTCTATATACTTCAGTCTTATTTACATAAACTTAAAGACGTCGTGTAGAAGAGGAAATATCGTGATCAAAAGAAGGTATAGTGTGCAAATGGAAAAAGTGATTTTTGTTAGGAAAATTCAACAAACTTTATAAGGTTCCTTTATATTAATTTAGCCAGTTATGATTTCGGTCTTTGCTGTATTTTTCGCCCTTGCTTTTCCCTACCAGAATATAAATTTAGTACCAGAGTATTTAACCTGTGATTTTTTTCGGTTGGTAGACAGAGCGTATTTCTACCACCTCTCAAGGCCACGTTACTAGATTTCGTTGCTAAAATTGTAATCCTCGGTTTTGCATTGTACAGTTGCCAACACTTAAATTGTTACGTTGGTGAAAAGTTCGAGCCAACTTCGCGTTAAATTAACTGTCTAGCCTTTGGCTACTAAGTTTTAAATCTTGAAATTGAATGTTACTTTAAGTTACCTCGTATCAACTGCAGGCTGAAACTTATCAACCAAGAATTGTGAATTTATTAAAGCTCTGATTTAATAAAAAGGTTATTTTGTAACCTTCTGAAGTTTTTGTTGTTAACTTTTGACCAAGCGATAATTTTCTCCAAGGTCTGTTAGCAGTTTATGTTATCAAAGAACACTAAACTTTATAACTAATATCTAGCAGTTTCACATTGTTTATCAGTTCCTTTTATGATAAACTGAACGCCATATTTAGGGAGTATATATAAAGCTGTATTCTGCGCCTATATTATCTTGTTTAGCTATTTTTATCATTTAAATTTTTTATCCACTGAGGCATCTTATTGTTTCCAAACATGTTCGGAAGTACTAAAAGGTAAAACAGCAATATAAAAATGCGAGACTTCTGATAGTTCCACAAACAAATATCATGTCAATAAATACAAAAATTTAGTCATTTACTTTCATTTCATATGCATTACTTCTTAATTCGAATTAATATTTTATGAAAATTACCTTTTAACGCTATAAACTATACCGGACTTTTTTTATATTTTAAGGAGCAGAAATAGATTCTAATAATAATGAAGCTTACCTTAAAGATGCTCTAAAGAGCTTGGAAGATGCAGTAACAAACCAAACAGTGAAGATCGTACTTCCAATCGACAAAGACTCAACAGTGAGTAAAATGTTAATTTCTTTCAATTATACCATTTTATTCTTTTAAAACATCTGCAGAGCGTAATAAATACAAATATTAAATAGCTATAAATTTTTAATAAGAAATGTACTTCTCCTTCTCTTGAAACTATTTCTGATATACGAAAATAACGTAATCTTAAGGGTGAAACATCGATCCGCGATATCGCTTAATTAGTAAATTTATTTGTAAACAAAGTATGTGACGAAATGTTTTAAGAAATTCCGATCGAAAATAAAGTAAGAAGAGAACGCCGAACAAAATTAACTCAACGTGATCAGAGATTTATAGTTGGAAAATTTGTGAAAATCCACGTTTGAGTGAGTGCTATAAAAATTTCTACAAAATTGTATTGAAAACTTTTCTACTTCAGTTTCACTTGAAACTGTAACCTATAAACCCGAGTAGTCTGGTCAGCTGGACTGCATGGGCACTCTGCTCAAAGAATGTTTACTTGCAAATGCAAATTTAAGAAGAAAAAAATAAATAAATAAAAATCTGAAAGGTTTCAAATTTTAAATTGCGTTCAAAGGTGCGTTTTTTAACATTTAGTCTGTTACCTCTATTTATTAAATATCACGTTCTCCGCACTTAAACCATAAAATCCAGTTTAAGAGCAATATCGCAAAATAGTTTTAAATTGAGCATATCTTTAGAACTTCTGATACGCAGTCTCACGCGCTGGAGATAAAAATGTTTTTTCTGTACAACGTTGCTATTGCTCATTTTGAAATTCTTGAGTTTCTTAATCAAAAATTCGTTAAAAATTTGCAAAATATGAATTCGATCATAAAACAAATTCCAAATTTCAAATTTGGGCTTCCACATGCCCATATTCGCAGTAGGATTACGTTATTCAAAATTCGGTGGCTCTAAGTACCGTTGTTTATCACAGTGCGAGAAATATACATACATTTATGCAGACTTTGCATTATTTAATTTCTTCAAATATAATGCAGGACTATAACATCTGGTGGCAACAGTTTGAAAAATAAAGCGGACATTTATAGTGCAAATCGCAAAACGCAAACGCAAACACAAAATCGCAAAACGAAAACAATATTCCTTCAGGGACAAAGCCCCTTTGGACTTAAAAAAAAAAAAAAAAAAAAAAAAAAAAAAAAAAAAAAAAAAAAACCTTATTTCTTCCTTCTTTCGCAAAATCAATACTAATAAATACGAAGCGTATTGGAAACCTGTCTTACTTGCAGATAAAAGCAAATTTAACATTTTGGGGTTCGATAGGCGTATAACTCTATTGGAGAAAGAAAAATGAGGAAAATGAGTTGGAGGGGGAATGTTAAGAACTTGCTTAAAATAGTAAAACAGGGCGGTGGAAGTGTCCTCGTGAGGGGATGCATGTCAGCATCAGGATTAGGCAATTAAGCATTTATTAATGGCATAGTGAACCATGCTCTTTATTTAAATATCTTAAAAGCTAATTTAAAATTATCCGACCAAAATTTTGGCATTTGAAACAACTTTTTATCAGGATAACGATCCTAAGCACACGGCCCTCAACGTTCGCCATTGGTATGTCTATAATTGTCCATAACTTCTGAGAGCACCAGCTCAGTCACCATATTAAAACCCGATAGAACGCATTTGGAGGGAATTAGAGGTTAGAATTCGAAGACAAACCATACAAAAGTAAACCGAACTAAAAACAGGAATGATGAAGAAACATTGACGCTGATAATACGAAAAAGAATTTGATGTGTACACCATATGACTTCTTTGCATGGAATATTAAATTATACGCATTTTTTGTTACATTTCATTTAAACTTATTGGATTGAATTAAATCTACTTTGCCGATAGCGCATAAACCACAATAGAATAAATGCACTCTTTAAAATTCACTATATTTGTTTGCTAGAGCGACACTTTGGCGCTAGGTTCACTTAACAGTGTTACATTTCGTTCATATTATAACTCAGAATGCGTATAAATTTGTATCATTTGAAGAACTATCTAATCTTTGTCACATGTTTTATTCAAATACTAAAATAAATCTAAAACGATTTTAAAAAAATAAGCAAACAAAGCAAAAAAGAAACAGTTTTTCACAGACGATTCAGTATTTGTCACACAATTAATTCAGTTGTCACTTCCCGACAAGGCAAAAATACATAAAAACTCAAAATATCTATATTAAAAATTACGAAGTAAACCTTAAACACTTATTTCTTCGAATAAATTCCAGAACAGATTAAACATGATTTAATTCGCAATAATAAAAGAAGGCGTTATTTTGTTGGTTCAAAGCTTAGTTTCTATAGATTGGCAACACATCCGCTATTTTGCCAAGTTTAAAATGTAAACAAACATTGTCCGTCATCGCAAATTAATTAGGCTTAGCCGCACTTAAACAACTTTTAAATTGTTGATAACTCCACAAATATTGCATGCAGATTTACTAAAGGCATAAAAACCTTAACCGGAATATAAAAACAATATTGTTACGAATTTGGTATTTAAAAAGCTAATGTTAGTTCAATTATAAATTAAATGGTTTTATTTCTCGCATAGTGCAGCGCGTGACGAATATTAAAGGAAAGCTAAGCTGGAAAATTGAAAATACAGGAACGCGTGCATTAAATAAATAAATATCTCTTTTTGATTTCGAGAAAGTACTGGAAAATTCTAGCGCATGATTTTAAAATCTTATAAAAGGAGGAAAACATCTCAGTTTGTAGTAGTTGCTTAGTTTGTTGTTGTTTAGAAAACTGCTCTTGTCGATTATAGCGAATTCGCGGATTAGCGTTCTTTAGCTGTTTTGAATTAAGTTCTATTGGACATTTGAGTAGTTAGATAACTACTGTGAGATATTGTAATACTGCATGATAATTTGAGAAAATGTAAGCATTTTTGTTGTGATAATAATAAATTTTTGTTCATTTTTCATCGGACTTGTGCATTCATTTCATAACGAACCCGTACGCACGCAACAATTTTTGGTGTCAGAAGTGGGATTTGAATGCCAATCACAAGAGCGATGGAAGAGCAGTTAAGACAGCTGATATCAGCCTTTGCTGCATTTAAAGAGGAAATGAAAACAGGTCAAGAAGAAATGAAAGAGGAGATGAAATCTAATCAGGAAAAGATTGAAGCGGGACAGGAAGAAATGAAAGCGGGACAGGAATCCGTTAAAGACGAGATGAAATCTAGTAAAGGCGAGATGAAAGCAGGTCAAGAGGAAATGAAAAGAGAAATTACCTGCGTAATAGAAAACAAATTCGAGGCTATAGAAGGTAGAATAGACTCTGTCGAAAGTAAGGTTGGAGAAATTGAAGAAAGAGTCTCCTCCGTTAAAGAACAAATAGAAGAGAGAGTTTCTGCTATGGAGGAATGAATTGAAGGAAGAGTTTGTGCCGTCCAACACCAAATCGAGAAACAAATTGATGATAGGGTTTCTGCAGTAGCCAAAGAAGTGGATATTTTAAAGAAATTCGTAGCGACGGCAGGGAACAATAGCGATGGCTTTAAATTTCTACCCATGCCTGCTCGTCCCTCTCTGAAATTATCTACATATGATGGGAAGACTTCCTGGCAGGTGTATAAAACACAATTTTCTATCGTTGCGGATGCGAATGGATGGGATTCCCAAGCTAAGGCCTGTCATCTCGCCTCTTCTTTAAGAGCCGACGCAGCGGATATCCTTCAGACTCTTCCCGAAAACAAAAGGTTAGATTTCGAAGCTCTATCCGGCGCCTTGGAGCTGCGCTTCGGGGAGAAATGTTTAAAAGACTACAGCAGGCTCCAATTAAAATCCCGTCAACAGAAGTTCAAAAACAGAAGCAAAAAATGCACAACCTACAAACATATAAGAGTAAAGAAACTCTTATCATTGAGCCGGTTAACTGAGAGGATATATATATATATACATATATTTATATACGTTTGGTGCGGCCGATTGCAACCAAAATAGGAGATGCAGGTCTACATGTTACAGCGTTCTATATACAAAATTTCAACGTTTTGAGGCTACTCGTTTTTGAGCTTTGCGAGATACGTACGTACAGACGCCACGAAAAATTCTCTTCAAATCTCATTTTAAACCAGTTTTATATTTGTTTGGGTGGAAAAGAGTCTTTTATTCTGTCCTTACGTACAGATGTCACGCAAAAATCGTTAAGTTGCATTCGATAGCGGTCAAAATGGATATTTTCGTTGAAATATGATGCCTGAAAATTTTCGCTATGACAATACTTCCTTTTTACTTCCTACGAGAAAGTAAAACAGGAAGTATTGTAATAGCGAAAATTCCTACGAGGAAGTAAAACCGTGGCGAAGTCCTAGACCCAGACGTTTGAAAGCTGTCATAAATGCTGCAAGATATCTTACAAAATGCTAACTAAGAGATATACTACAATATTTTCTAATATATGCAGATTTTTTTGATAAACTCACAAATACTCTATCATTCAGTTTGTTAATTAAAAATTCTTTATGTCTGACAAAATATGAAATATAATAAAACAAATTCCAAATTTGGGCTTCCAGATGCTCATATTCGGTGGAGGATTACGTTATTCAAAAATTTGATGGCTCTAGGTACCGTCGTTTTATCACAATGCGAGAAAGATACATACATTTATCCAAATTCTTCATTATTTAATTTCTAAATATAATACAGGGCTGTAATATTTGTTGGCAACAGTTTGAAAAGTACATCAACGCAGAAAATGAATCAACGCAAAATGCCAAAACGAAATTAATAGCCCTTCTGGGCTAACGCTCTCTGGGCTAAAAAAAAGTTATTTTTCATTCAGCAGGCAAGCTAAACAGCTGCATTACGATTCGTTACAATTAAAACACACGCACACTAATCACAAGCAGAAACCACAAACAAAACCTTCGAATTTTCCCCAAATCGCGCGAATTTATTTGGGTTGCCAGATAAAATACATTTCGTAAAATCTTGTTCTCTACTTCGGCGACATACCGCTTTGCGTGGCGATTTTTGTGCTAGTTGGAAGGATACCGCTTTAATAGTTCCCAGTTGGGAGAATAATGCGATAGATATTGCTATAGTACGAACTCACAAGCTGGCTGTCCACATACGGCTCTGAAACTATTTTATGCGACCCGCGAAAATAATTCAATTATGTATTTATTGAAATAGTGTTACAAAAATTTCAAGGTTTTAGTTGAAGTCTGAGATTATATTATTTTCATTTCCATTAGAAACGAACATGAAAACTCAACAGAAATATCTATAAATGAACTATACCAAATTATAATATTTTGTCTAAATGTAGCATTCTTCTAATGAAAAAATTTGTCAAAAGTTACAAAATGAAAAAAAAAAAATTGTATCAACTCATTTTAATGGTTAAGGATGAATTCAGTGATTCTAACTCAATTTTAAGAGAATAAGAACAATTAAAAGAGATTAATTTGAGTTTCATATAGTAAAATTTATTGTTTATTTCTTTCTACAGAAAGATGTTTATATTCAAGACATTATAATTGGAGATGGACCATATACAGGTAAATATTTATTTTCAATTACTAACGTAAGAAAAATTTAATGATTTTTGTTTGTCTTTTTAGAGAATGCCTTTTTATAATTCGCATTGCACGAAAGGCAAAAAATTTGCACTTGCGTATACTGCAGAGAAAACATAACTTGCTTTACGTAAAACTTATTCCATTCATAATCATTTTATAATTATTGCATACTTCAATGAAATGTACACTAGGCAAAAAAAGTGTTAAGCAAAATTCGACCTTATTTTGGTATGAATTTCGAATAACACTTTATCGAATTTGAGGGCGATAAGATACGGGTCTCTCTTCTCCAGGGGCAAAACATTTTTGAATTTGTAAAATAGATAGTAAAACCTTTTCCCCCTCTCTATCCTCTTGAAGAACAGGAACCCCTACTTTATCGCCTTCGAAACTGATACAAAAATACAAAATGTATGCCAAAACTTATTACATATTTTATTGCAAGTTAAATGCAAAATTTATGAGAAAATAAGATTGTTTTCTTTTGGTTATTTTTTAATTTTATATTGGCACATTTTTTTTTCAATTTGATGTGAAATTTTAATTTTATACTTTTTGATAGCCTTTCTTGTTTTTTGATGTCATTAATTGGGGTGCAATGAACTCCATGGTGGAATTAAATTTCTCTCCGTAACGCTGATACCAAAAGGAAGCAACAAACTGCGTGGAGTTTTGCATTTGTTCTTCTTCAGTTAGTTCGCTTTTGAGCAACTGATTGACAATATTTACTACAAAATATAGAATACAAATTGTAACTCATGCTTCAAGTACGAATACGTGTTATTATTACATAAATGAGAAAAGAGATATAAAACATGAGAAATTTAATTTTAAAGTATTTTAGTAGTTTAATAATAAATAATACTGCTGCAGAGGGGTCGTTTTAGATAGGGTAACAGAAGAGTCCTGTACAGTGTAACAAGTATTTATTAACAGGTTTAAGTTACACGGACATTACATTTACTAACTTTAAGAATATTTACAGAGCAAAAGTCTGATACAACCTATCAAGTGGGATTCTTGGCTTTTACTGAAGTACTTCTCTACCAGAGGGCAGCCTTGTTGTTACAGTTAGTCCAACAGTTTATGTTAAAGGATTGGTTACACTGCGAAAATGTCAGTAAAACATAAATAAATGTAATTAATTTAATTTAATGATAAGAAGTTTATTTCTTTTCTAAAAGAAAATTAAAAGAAATTCGAAATAGATAAATGTTATCATTTACCACTTAAAGTTTGGGATACATTGTAAAGATTTTTTTCTTATACTGTAGAAGTATATATACACTACAGGCACGAACCCCATATTTTGCTTCAATTCATTTCAGGAATTTTCCTGAAGCATAATAAACCTATAAGACTATAAAGTATATTTATTCAAATTCCAGTTATTCAAGCAAATTCCTGTTTACTCTTTCTTCGCTGTATTAATATATATATATATTCTTTTGCTCTCTCTCTCTATATATATGTATATAAAGTATAATCATTCAAATTCCATATTCCTCTCTCTCTCTCTCTCTATATATATATATATATATACATATACAGGGTGTTCATAATTAAACTTGAAATTTGCGAATAGTCTGTAGCAAAACCTATGCAACTGAATTACATGAAAATTGGGCAATGGCCGAATGAAATGATGGGAGTTTTATCGAAGAAAAAGAAACAGTAAATTTCAAAAACCGCCACTAGATGGCGTTGTCCAATGTAAACTATTGGCATATGCAAATGTCGTAACCAGAGTAATCCTGTGCGCATACAGCAACCCTATAAAGATACGAGAGGTGAACCGCAGTCATACTCGTTTTCAAGTCAAGGGAGATGACGTTGACTCTCCAGGAACAGGCTTTACTGGTTAAATTGTTTTATCAAGAAGAAGACTCTGCTACCGAAGCTTTGCGGAAATTTCGGTCTTTGAAGCGATTACGAAAAGGTGGACTTACTGGTCAAAGACTAACAAACATGATTAGAAAATCTGAAGCAACGGGAACATTGGAGATTCAGCCAGGAAGGGGACGAACGTGTGTTGCAGCACAGGTAGTGGATGATGTAGCGATGCAAGTAGAGGAAAGCAGATCGCAAACCATGGCAGCACTAGTGTTCGGCGTATTGCAGCATCTGTGGACCAACCTCGCTCCACGATTCATAGGAATCTTCAAAAGGTCTTACGCTACTATCCATAGAAACTGTCGCTAGTGCAGCAGCTCTTACCAACTGATCTGGAGAGTCGACAAACTTTTGCGTTGCGGTTTCTTGCGCGAGTCGAGATCCAGGATGAATGGCTATGGAACATTTTGTGGACCGACGAGGCCCACTTTCATATGGAACGTGCGGTTAACATGTGCAATTGCCGTATTTGGGCTGCTACAAACCCACATCAATTCCTGCAAATTCTATTACACTCTTCGCATATAACGATTTGGTGCGGCTTTACTGCAACCTTCACTGCGAGTCCGTTTTTCTTTCGAAGAGCACAGCGCCCCGGGGCCTGTGAACATGCACCGTCACCGGTCAACGATACGCTTCATTATTAGAACAATCCCTTATTCCGACTCTTTTTTAGGTAAGGCAATGTGATACAACCACAGTGTTTATGCACGCTGGTGCTCCTCCACACCTCGCCCATTGTTTGAAACAAGTGATCCGCCGCCCTTTCGGTGACGGCAGAATCATCAGCCCGGCAGTTTCCTACAGCTTAGCCTCCTAGATCCCCTAACTTGAATCCGTGCGACTTTTGGCTGTGGGGATGTCTCAAGGCCGTGATCCCATTACATCTCTATCCGACCTTAAAGAAAGCATAGTACGTCATGTGAGTAACATTCTTCAATTCGTGCTGCTTTCAACAGTCGAACATGCGATTTTACGCTTCCAGATGGTAGCAGACAATGGTGAACATCATATCGAGCATGTCTTGTAAACGTTTGTAAATTATTTATATGTTCTCAATAAAGCTATCATACGCCAGCTAGGGGTGGTTTTTAAAACTTGTTGTTTCCTCCCCCCCCCTCGATAAAATTCAAGTCATTTCATTTTGCCATTACTCAATTTTCATGCAATTCCACTATATAGGTTTTGCTACAGACTGCTCGCAAATTTCAAGTTTAATTATGAACATCCTATATATATAAAGTATATTCATTCAAATTTCCAATTATTCACGCAAATTCCTGTTCTCTCTTTCTTCGCTGTTATTAATATGTATATTATTCTGTTCATTCTCTTTCTCTCTCTATAAATATATATGTATATGTATAATAAGACAAGGACTTTCGATATTGATGGTGTAGAAAGTAGACGGTTGAATCCGTAATGAACAGCGAGGATTTTGATGTCGTAGAATGCTGAAATGCCAATTCATAATGGATAGAAAACTGACAGCCCAGACAGATAAAATATTTATTTTACTTCAGTAAACATATTGCTGCCATAAGCAAATTTTGACATTATTTTTGCCTATTTTAAGAGCTTTACATATTTGATAACTTTGCAGTAAGAAGAAGCAACAGAGAGCAATCCAGCTAGGCTGAAGAATAGCGAACGAGTACGTTACGTTTAGAATGAAATCTTAATACAGACTGAGCTAATTTTAGTTTTCTATGCATTTTGATTGGATAATTAATATTGCTGTAAAATTATTATTGGATGTTTGAGTTTTAGTTCTGTTTCCACATCGGAATTATGCAAGAGTCATATGACAAGAATTAATCTCGAAATGAGTGCAGTGCAAAAAGAGATTACTATTTTTAGAATACAGAAGTGAAACTAATTTACACTGTTAATTTAAATTATAATTTATCTTTTATATATTCTTTATTTTTCTGACACACACATATATATACACTGTTCAAAATGTTCACGGTAAAGTCATACTACTATGTTCGTATAACTCATGACACTATTACAAGAGGCAGTTAGCTACAAGGAAGATTGAACTCTGAAAGAGGTCCTGCGTTCTTTTTATAGAAGAAATGTGTAAGTTTGCTCTGTTTCTAGAAGCTTGTGTCAGTTGCAGACCCTACTCAGGCTAGAAGCAAGGTATTGCTTTATTTGCAACAGATGACCAAATCTTAGGAAGCTTAAAATAACCTTTTTTTTAACTCTTAAGTGAATACAAAACCCTCTTTGTGAGATAAACGAACTTCCACTACTTGCGGGTATTTCAATTAACATTAAATATAACGTTAAGTTCAAAGTAAAAGTCGGAAAATACACATAAAATAGACAAGAATAATTCAAATAGAACTGCTCTACAAATACTTTCCGAGAAGCCTTTTGAGCATAGAAGTAAAATATTTCCTCTTATTCGTAAATAATATAATAATGCTACATTTAAATAAAAAAATTTCATTTTTAAATTGCAAGCTTTAACGAATAAAAAATTATGAAAAATGTATTCTGATTGACCAATGAAAACATATAACGAAATTTTATTATCATCTGAATCTTTTAATACTTTTTCATAGGAGGAAGTAATCAGGAGAAACCTTACGATATAGTCATCAATTTCAGCAAATTGAAGAAATCTGAAACTACACTGGAACTTCACGAAGTGGATACTCTCAATGATTGTTACAAGGCTTGCAAAACTTCGGATGCTATTTCTTGTTCCAGTTTCTCTTACTGCCCAAGGAGCGATAACAAGCAATGTGTAATCAGCTCTCTCTTGGTGGTAGATAAGGCAAAAAACGCTGAGGACACAGTAGATGATGCCAACTGCTACGTGTATTCCTGTAAGTAACAACATTTTTTTTTTCAATTTTAACGAAGAGAACAGATAACTTAGAAGAACTTAAAGGTTTCCTTTTTTCATTTATGTGCATATTAAATCTGAAATGTACCGTGCAGTTGCCCAGTGTGTTTATGGATTTAAGAGAATATAAAGCAATTTTCTCGTTCTTTTGCCAAGGCTGTTAGTTCTGAGTATCAGGAATGTTTTATCTCAGTCCATATCGTTCAGTCTGTATTTAAATATTGTGTTTTTAGAAACTCAAAAAAATTCAATGAAACATACGTGGAAGGAGGATATTAAGAGATTGTCTTAACTGATGCAGCGTTTCACAAAAGTGATGTGATACTTTTTCTTTCCGACAGTAATTTAAAAACTTTTGAATGGGTTAAACTGAAATTATAAAACATGGTTTCTTTTGAGGAATATATATATATGAGGATGTCTAACGTGGATGCAAGCCAAGTTTCCTTAACGTGCTCCACGACAACGCTCCTTCCCTTAGGCAGATAGCCCTAGTGTGCTTTGCCATAATCAAATAAACGTAATATATCTCTTTTGGGACGAAAAAATTGTACACTACCCGACATTGAAACTGCAACACCAAGTCGACAGAAAGTGATGAAACTCGGCAGAGAGAAACAGCAACGAAGAATAAGTGATCTGTATTTCGAAAGGATATGCATAACACAGAGCGCGAGACGGCGATACACAAAGCAGCATGCCTAAGTACAAAATCAATAAGGCTGCGAATGATACTTGAAGAATGGCTCTCCACCTCCTGTCAACCATTTGCCACCGTCAGTCTTCTGAACGCGGCAATGGCAGGGTCTGCAAATGGGGTCCAAATCACACTCCAAATGAGTTTAATTGGTGAGAGAACAGTAGAGAATGGTGGCCAGAGAAGCATCTGTACATCTTGCAGTGCACGTTGGCTGATGCCAGCAGTGTATGGTCGGACGTTATCCTGCTCATAAAGAGCATTGGGCACACCCCGAAGGCACGGGAGTGTCACCGGTCACATCACATCATCCACGTATCATTGGGCCGTCATAATGCCTCGAATACGAAGTAAAGGTGACCTGGAAAGTTACGCAATTGCATCCCAAACCATGATGTCGCGTTGTCGTGCAATGGGTGTTTACACATTTACTGTCGGATTAGACCTGTTTCCACATCGACGCCCCACTCGTACACAGCGACTATCATTGGAGAAACAGAAGCGTGACTCATCTGATAACACGACCCTGTGCCATTCCGTCGTCTACATGGCTCATGCCTTGGCACCTTTGCAGACGTTGACGTCAAGATGTGGAGTCAATGGCAATCTTCTTAACGGACACCCCGAGTGCAGCCACCAATTAATGGCAAATGGTTCTGCTCGATATGGGAATATCCAAGGTGTCTTGAACGTGCTGCAGGATGAAGGTAGAAGTGGCTTGCGGGCGCGCCACTGCTTGTCAGCGGATGCGTCGATCCACGCTTACTGAGATCCCTCTCGCTGCACCGGCAGCATAATGGCAGACTGCACATTCAGTTAATCAATGTTAAACGAATTTCGCATACTGCGCATGCCCAGAAGAGAATTTGGCGTAACTATTATATTGGTGCAATCTTAAAAGAAGATAAATTCAGTATATGGTTGATATTCTGTTATCTGTTATCGTAAACAGTTCGAGGTTTTAAACCTTGTTAGGTTGAAAGTTAATTCATTACTTAGTGTGTAAATATCGATTGTAAACTACGCACATTTTCATTTAAGAAGGATTACAAAACAGGAAACATTACAAGATATATTAGCTGAATGTTCATTGATTATACTTCTGGGGAATAAAAGCAATCGAGTATTTACCATACCTTCCATTCGTATATACTTGAACAAATTAAGGAATAAATCTAGTTTAAATTAATGGATTAAAATCGATAAAATTATTATAATTGGTATTAAATATAAGGTTTATGAACAAAATAAGCCAAAATGAAATAAAACAGAAGCAAATACAATAAGCACAAACAAATTTCCGTAGTATTGCAGTTGCAAACAGTCGATAAGACTGTTTGCAACTGCAATACTTATATGACGAACTTATATGACGAACAAGCTTCTGTAGGGTTGCTTATGCTTAGTCGCCAGTATTTCCTCCAAATATTCCAGTATTCCAAAGGTACAACATTGAGCATACGCAGTAAGCGAAATTCATTAGCATTGATCAACTCAATCTGCGGTTTGCCATTACGTGCACCGGCACCTCTCGAACTTGCCACATTTCTTTGTTCCAACCATCGTCTTGACAGCTGGGGCGCTGTCCAGGTTATACCAGCTCCGATTTGCCGTATGGACCAGCTTGCCGTTCTCAGTCTGATCACAATGCCCCTCGTAAAATCGTCTGTCTGCTGGAACTGACTCTGCTGCCGACGGTCTGGCATTCTCTGCTATTAGACGCGTCCTCAGAGACAAGAACAAATTTTCTACGATGATTTCCCTAGCATAAATAATGACACTAAAATTGAGCATTCTGCAGGTTCCTTCCTTATAGCTTCCTCAACGTGCGCTGGAGAGCTGCGCATTTCACATCATTCGCATAACTCGGTGACGGCGTCTAACCTGAAATTTGCATAATTTTCGGGACACTCCTTCTGGGTGTTGCTTTTTCAATGTCATGCAGTGTATTACAAAACAGATCAAACAATTTATGTTATTTCAAATAAAATGTAAATGGAAATTCTTAAAATTTTTCTAATGCTGATTTGTTGTGTTGTTATTAGATCTTAAAAACATGATTTAACTAATTTTTTGGTCATGGATTCAACTACATTTTTTATCATTTTAGCTTAATTTTTCTCCACTCAGTTTGCATTACTAATTTCATTTGTTTTTTGCAGATATTTTGCTTTTTTTACAACAGTTTTTTAACCTATTTTATTAGTGTAAGACTCATTTTCTTTTCCCTTCCTTTCAAATAAAAAAAAAAAAAAATGTGAGATGTTCATTTTTAACAGCCAATCAGATATTAGCATCGAATGCCCCATCATCAGTCATTATTTGTAATGGGAAACTAGTTTCTCTTTTACATGGGAACTCCAAAGTATTTTGTTGTATTTTTACTGTTTCATATCATGTGGCGAAACAGGAAAATTGTACTAAACAGTTGCTCTTTCGAAATGTTTTGAATGTGTAATACAAATTTAAAAAGTATTCTGAGCATTTTCAGAATATTAAAAGCAGCCAGAATAGTAATTTCAGAGCAGTATCCTCTATGTCATTATGTTAGTAGAACTTAGAACTGTATTTTAGGCTAAATTCCTGTGCTTGGGTTTCAAATTTATTTTAAAATATGAATATGTTTTAACACTTTCATTACAATATCTATAAATTTAAGATCTGTATAATTGGGCCTGTGAGCTTAAGTTAATTACCCACTCATTTTATGTTTTGTATCTATACTGTCCCTTCTCCTTTCCGTTTTCCTGCCAGAATGGAAATTTGGTTCGAGTGTATTTAAGGTGAGGTTTTTATAGATTCTAAGCGGTTTGCCTTTCGTGGCCAAGTTATTAGGTTGCTATCTTAGGTTAGAGTTACTGTCTTCGGTCTTTCATTATAATTGCTGAGAGCTGAATACACGTTGGCTAAGGTTTGAGCCAACTTCGCGTTAAACTGATTGCATAGCTTTCGGCTACTAGCTTATTTGAATTTAAATTTACATTTTACTTATTGTTAACTTAAATTATCTCGCCAGAAGTGGCTGGCAGAGTTGTAAGCACAAAGTGGTCTAATTTAGTGAAAAGTTATATTACTTCTGTTCTTCTGATTGCTTCTGTATAGTGTGTTATAAAGTTATCTTACTTCTGATCTTATTTAATTTTAAATAAAGGGTATTTTACACTCTTCTCAAGTTTAAGTTATTATTTAGCGGTAATTCGCTTAACGTCTGCAAAGAGTTTACATACTTCGAACGACTGCTAAGAACACTTAACTCTACAGTGTTTTTTATTTCGGAGCAGGAGATGTGAAAAATGTACTTAGCTCTCGCCGGAATTCAAACTTTAGACCTTCCGATTGCTAGCAAGATGCGTTTTCCAGTTACACCATGAATGCATCTTAAGGAGGCAGAAAATATCTTACAGATCATTGTTTCAAAACGTGACATACAGTCTTAACATTGTGGTTTCTTTTATACCATTTGTTTTTCTTAGAACTGACATCGGTTTTTGAAATTCTTTAGCTCTTCTATGGATTCAAAATAAATGTTAAATATCTTCTCTTATTAAATTTTACCTTATTCCAAGATTCAGAATTCTTGTTTCTCATAGATTTGAAGGAAGAATATTGAAATTTTCTGTTCATAGGTGTCGTAAGAACTTTCAGACTGCCACCTGGTTAATTTAGCATACAGAATTACTGTTTTAACGTTCTCTCGATTAATTAATACTCTACATAATTAGTAAAAATAAGTTCTCTGTATACTAACCCCCAATTTTTCGATTGTTTTAATTATTTTATACAGTATTATGTTATATTTCACAAGACATCACATACGGTTTCCTAATTTTCCTTCAATATTGAATGTCGTCATGCAATAAAATAGCATTTTATTGCACCAAAACTGACGAATTCCTTAACAGAATACTTTCAAGTACATTTCTGACAGATTTAATTTTCTTACTTGCATATTAAAAGCAAATTTAATAATTACTAACAGAACAGTGCGGCCTTTCGGATGACACATATGTATGTCAAGGTGTCCGCCGATAACATCGCGGCAAAAACATCGTGGACGAAAAACGTCGCGGAGAAAACAACGCAAGGCGAAAACGTCGTGCTACAAAACATCGTGGGAGAAAACATCGCAGTTCTAAAACGTCGTGGTACAAAACATCGTCGTCGAAAATAAAGCGGTTCAAAAACATCGCAGTTTAAGAACATCGTCGTCGAAAATATCGTGGTAAAAAATAAAGTATCTACAAATCATCGCATGACGATAACATCGCAGACATGCTTTTTTCAGGTTTTAATAATTGTAAATGGATATTCCCATAATGATTTGTGAGCGCAAGGGAAAGAAGGATAAATTTTACTTTCACATATTTTATTAACTAATAAATTTTTGCTGAAAACGTAAGAAGGAAACTTAAGCATAGAAAATTAAATGTAACTTATAGATTATACTTTTCATGAAAATATTACCAGTAAAAACTTTATAAAAAATGATTTATTAATGACCTTTGTTAGTTAACTATGTCGGTTTTTTTAAAATTCTATTAAGTGCTATAAGTTGCATTAATTTTTTATGCTCAAGTTTCCTTTTATTTTCTCAGCAAAAATTTATTAATTAATAAAAAATATGAAAGTAAAAATTATCCTTCTTTCCATCTTGCGCTCACAAATCATTATGGGAATATCCATTTACACTTATTAAAGGATGCCTGAAAAAAGCATGTCTGCGATGTTATCGTCATGCGATGATTTGTAGATACTTTATTTTTTACCACGATATTTTCAACGACGATGTTTTTAAACTGCGATGTTTTTGAACCGCTTTATTTTCGACGACGATGTTTTGTACCACGATGTTTTAGAACTGCGATGTTTTCTCTTTGCGATGTTTTCTCCCACCATGTTTTGTAGCACAACGTTTTTGCCTTGCGTTGTTTTCTCCGCGACATTTTCGTCTGCGATGTTTTTGCCCCGATGTTTTCGGCTGTAACCGTATGTCAAAGTCAGTTTATAGTGATATTGTTGACATTTAAACACTGAAGAATGTTTCAAGATTTCCGTAAGTAAGAAATTATGGACATATTCAGAATTTCGCGGTGGATAAGGGTAAACTTTATTAAACTTGCCAGGGGCTACCGTAAAGTAACTCACGGGCCACATGTGGCTTTTTTTCAAACCACCAGTTGTCTACTACTGGGTTTACTTTACGTAAAATGTTATATATAAAATACTATATCCATTCTGAATTTTGCAACAGATAAAAAGCATTATAAAACGAAACTAAAAGAATTAAAATTGTCTTATTTTGGAAGTAGTAGACATTCTTTGTTCTGACTACATAACCATGATCATAAGCGACTGTTAAAAGCATCACTTACACCAAATGCCACGTGTTTTATAAAATAAAGTGAATGCAATCGAATGACATACAATAAAATAAAAGCAGCTACCACTATCCTTAATTAGAAACTAATATAGAGTTTTTAACAAAGTACGCTATAGTTTGTTAATTGAATTCACAATGGATTTTTTTTTTACTTCAGTGAAATATCTGGACTTCTATGATCCCTACCCAGGAAGAACTGTGCTTATCAGCGGAGAGGATGTGCAATCAAATGTTAATAGCACAGAGATGTGTGCTAAAATCTGCCGAGATGAAAAAACATTTACCTGCCGAGGTTTTGAGTACTGTCGGACGGCCAGAACATGCGTGCTTCACTCCAAACATATCCTAGATCTCAAACCAGGGGAGAGCGCAACTACTTCGAAAAAGTCAACATGCGTCCACTACGCAGGTGAGTGATTTAACTAAATAGATCATAACAGTTTTCCGTTATTTTAACAGATAGCTTTGCATACTTGAATCTAGATTCGTGTGGTCAAGAATTTTAAATATACAGTGTATAGTTATTACGTATAAATTTCAACTCAATAAATTGATTACTTTTACATTGAAATATTGTAATATTACTTAGGTTTTGGCCGAAAGCATAGCAAACAAAACAATGCAAGCAGAAAAACATCATTCTACAAGACTTCTTAAGAGAAAAAAAAAGCAAGGAGAAAACATCACAGTTTGGTATAAAGCATTGCGGTATAAAATATTGTCGTAGAACATAATAGTTGTTCAAAAACCACTTGGCAGCTTTAAAATGTACTAGTGAAAAATATCGTTATAAAAAATAAAGCAACTGCAAATAATGTACAAGCAGCTATTAATCGAAATATAACTGAAATTCTTATCAGTGAGAAAATGAAACCAAGACTTCAATAGATTTAATCTAAAATTTGAAGAAACGACAGCGCTTAGCAAGTTCTAAATTCTGATTTTTATCAGTAAAAGATAAGATAAATAGATAAAAATAATAAACTGCAATATAGTCAACTCCTTATCATCAAACTTCGAAGTTATTGTCTCATTCTCGCTTTAACGTAACTTTTTTTGCGTGTTTTATTTAATGGTAGGAAGCAAAAGAAGTATTGTACCCACGAGAATTTCGGGTTTTAGTTTCGAAGGAAATATTCATTTTGACCATTCTATCTATTTTAACTACTTTTTTGCTTGATGTCTATACGTATAGACAAAATAAAGGACTCTTTATTCCAAAACGAATTGTAAAATAGTTTCAAAATTGATTCTTTCGCCACGTCTGATACTTCTTACGTATATATCTAAGTCAAAAATCGTAGCTGTAAAACCATAGATTTTCTGTAGAACTTGAAAATTTTGTATATGGAACTGCTGTATCATCTAGTCATGCATCTCTCTTTTTTATAGCAATCGGCAGTACCAAAAGTGTATACATATATACATATATATACGCGCATACACTGCATATATATGCACAACGTACCCACTATACTCGTAAAAGTGGTGTCCATGTACAGTAAAGTAGCTATGCGCTACTAGATCAGATAGCTTACAGCGTTACATTTATTTGTTCACGATTTCCGAAGCTAAGACGTCACGAAACGATATTAGAAAGAAAAAAACAACTAGTTATCACAAGCTACTTTTATTTTCGATGTTCAAACTTCTCGTCATCAGCTGAAATGTACATCTGGACACCCTCGTTAGAACTTCATGTTGCACGCGTTGTAGCATAGCGGGTGACACTGTGAGACAAGCATCTGTAACACGTCATTGAAGGTTCTGCAATGTTTGTGGAGGGTTCGCATACACTTGCTATTTGAGGTATCCAAATAGGAAAAGGTCCATTGGAGTGAGATCAGGTGAATGTGGAAGCCACTCTTCGAAACCACCACACCCGATTATTTGTCCTCCGAATTCCTCCATTAGGTACTGCTTCACTTGCGACGACTCGTGCGCAGGTGCGCCGTCACGTTGGAACCATTCATTCCGGAGTTGAAGCAACGGCAGGTTCTTAACAAAATCGGGTATTATGTCTTGCAGAAATTCTAAATATTGTGCGGCCGTTAATGTACCTTGGTAAAATATTGAGCCGATTAGCCTGTTACTATAAATTTCACATCAAACATTAATTGAAAACCGTATTTGATGTTGAATGTTGGCAGAACATGATGGATTTTCCAGTGCCCAGAAATGGGTGTTCTGCCTACTGTACATTCTATTCCGCGGAAAGCATACCTCATCCGTGCACACTATATCTACTGCCAAGAATGTTGGCTGGACCTCTATATGGTTCATAACGAAGTTGCACCATGCGAAACGTCTCTCGGCGTCCTCATCCAGTAATGACTGACTAGGTGTTGGTTGGTATGGATGAGCACCTAATTCATTTAGGATTTTCCAAACACGACGTTTAAAAGGCTATAGGTTTCATTTATCTCTCTTGTGCTGCTGTTTGGATATGTGAAGCCGTATGATAAGACATTTTGCGGTTGCACTTTCCGCCTTACATTAGCTGATCGGCTACTCACGCAGCCTATCTACCTTAAAAGTTTCACAACCTTTTTTTGTATGAAAGATGCGGGCCTGCAAGAAAACGTGCCGATACAACCGCGCTGCCAATCCTGTCTTACACTCACATTCGCCGTAAAGTAGAACCATCTTACAAACATCATTTTCTGAAAATTGCTTCATCACCAAGAGCTTCCACATACAACCACAAAGAGATATCTTTTTTATAGCTATCTAAAGTGAACAGGTGTGACGTTTTATACATTTGCAGGATACACAAATTCGCACACCAAGTTGCGTTGAGTGATGCATTTTGTGACACGATTATTCTGTTCGTAAAGACAATCAGTACAATGATGCACCCCGCGGGGTTTAAATTAGTCTTCTCGTTCGTGAATTATAAGCGATACCACTGTGCCGCGATGCGAGCCCGTTTTTCATTCGAAAGTTTTTCTTTTCTCCTTTCGTTCAAGTTTCTTGACGTTACAGTTTCGGAAATCGCTAAGAAACAAATCTCTGGTTTTAGCATTCATATCCACAAGGTGTCTATACGTACTAAATCGACGATGGTCTACAACTCTGTAATTCACGTTTTCTCCCTATTTCGGATCGTTTTCGAGATAGGGAGCCTAACTCCGCCGTTTTCTATCAGATGGCGCTGTAAGATATCTCATTTAGTAGCCCATAGTCACTTTACATAGACACCAATTTTATGAATATAGCTGCAGCTTTCGGCAGTTAAACTGGTGGTACAGGTTGTAACAACTTTAAATAATATTAAAATCTTGTAGTTTAAATAATTTAAATAGATGAACATTAAGGTATTTGTGAATGGCAATATTTGAAACCAGACTCGAGTGCCACGTGCGACTCTCGCACGAAGAATGCAATTTATTTTTAAATGTTAGTATTCTTTTCTCTTCTTGTTTGTATGTCGCCATTTTTTTGAGTGTTAAATAAAAGTTATTGCTGTGTTCCATCATTGGAGTTGCTTCATTTCGCCAAAGAAGCATCACAGTCTTAATTCTTTTGGAGGCACCGACCGAGATCGAATAATCGTGCGTATTTTTATTTCATTAGTTCATCACTGAACATAATACTAGTGATACCAGATTATTACTTCTTGTTAATATTGAATTGCTTTATTTTATTAGTTCATCACTGAATGCAATATTAGCGATACCAGATTATTACTTTCTGTTAATATTGAATTGCTTTATTTTATTAGTTCATCACTGAACGCAATATTAGTGATACCAGGTTATTATTTCCTGTTGATATTGAATTGCCTTATTTTATTAGTTCATCACTGAACGTAATATTAGTGATATCAGGTTATTACTTCCTGTTAACACTGAACTGCCTTATTTTATTAGTTTATCACTTGAACGTAATCTTAGTGATACCATTTTAATGCCGTTTCTACTAGAGCTCAAAGGAAAAGAAAAATAGTTGAAGAGAAGATCTTGGAACCGATGAAGGAAGAAAATAAAGCATCCAAAGATATCTTTGAAGAAGAAGTTAAATCACCGGAATTAAACGTGGAAGATTTTTAAGAAAATTTGAAAACCGATAAAGAAATTAATATTGAGAATCATTTTGCAATGCAACATTATCATCATCTTTCGGCTTTCGATTTAATATCAAAGGCGCTCTAATAGACGAAGAAAACAAATGTCGAAAGCAAATGACAAATGAATAGTATTCGAAAGGCACAGATGAACTGAGGAAAGGCTTTGCTGTGAAATAGCCGAGGAACTGGTCCGCCATGGAAGAGATCTAGGCGCCGTCAAGAAAATAAAAAGGAAGAATAATTTGAACACTGTCTCTTTTCTTCCTATTTAAATGTGGTGTAAAAATATTTGTTTAAAACTTAAAATTTTCGGCCTGAAAATTTGGAAACTTATGAGAGAAGTTATCTTTTCTCTTTAAGCAATTGAGCAAGCCGAGCTTATAGACTTTCGAATTTTACAGAACTTTTCCCTTCGGCCGCAAAGTCTCCGTGGGGGAGAGGTTGTAACAGCTTTAAATAGTATTAAAATTTTGTAGTTTAAATAATTTAAATAGATGAACATTAGGTATTTGTGTATGGCAATATTTGAAACCAGACTGGAGTGCCACGTGCGACTCTCGCACGAAGAATGTAATTTATTTTTTAAATGATAGAATATGTTTTTCTCTTCTTGTTTGTATGTCGCCATTTTTTTGAGTGTTAAATAAAAGTTATTGCTGTGTTCCATCATTGGAGTTGCTTCATTTCGCCAAAGAAGTATTACAATTAGAATTATCCCCCAAAAAATCTTTTGGAGCTTCAATTCTCTGTTCCAATTTCCCGACGCGTCCGCATCGTTGTCCGTAGACATATATTTACAGCTACAGAGGTGTTTGAAATGACAAAAATATTCATGTTTTGGCAATGTCATATTTTAAGAAAATTTAATTTTGCAAACAACGAAATCTAACTTACATTGCAGTGTTCCTATTCCTATACTTAAATTTAAGAAAGTTTTTATACTCGTTATGTATAAAACTATATATTTTTATTTGTTTTATACTCGTTATATCGTTATACAAGAAGTTTGGTTTCCGATGACAAACCAAACTTCTTGTAAGTAACCTGCGGGATATTTAATTTCAAAATTTGAAATGTTTTATGTCATTTTAAACTTACCTTTAGGAACCAGTTAATTAAGTTAAAATATTTCGAGGAAAAAAGTTTAACTGAAGTGCAGTAAAAGGTGTGTATAATTTAATAGGCAAACAAGAAATTCATGTGGTGTCACCACCAGTTTTTTTTTTTTTAACTTCATGATCAAACACCACTTTACTAGCGCTTATGTCGCATAACATTCAACAAAATCACAAAAATTTTAAAAGCAGCATATGCTTAAAATTCTGGATACAATAATGTATGAATGAATTCCCATACATTTTTTAGCTTAGAAGGGCTATTATTATCAAGCCTCATTTTGTGTCAAATTATTTTTCTTATCCGTTTCACTTTACAAATAACTAACAGGTTGTCTAAAATATTTACTAAAAAACAAATATAAAAATCTAAAATGTTTCAGATGTTATGCCCAAAAGAGCGTTTTTTTAACATTTTGTGTGTTACCTTTATTTATTAAATATCATGTTCGTCGCACCTAAACCATTAAATTCAGATCAACAGCAATGTCGCAAAATAATTTTAAAATGAGCATGTCTTTAGAATTTCTGATACACAGTCCGCACGCTGGATATAAAAATGTTTTATTTTTCGTACAGTTTGCCATTGCTTGCATAATTTATTTTTAAAAATACATGGCGATAACATTTGGTAGCAATATTTGAAAGAGATACGAAAAAAATGAGATTTGAAAATAATAGCTCCTCTAGGGCTAATAAAAAAAGGGTAAGTAAAGACAGTTAATTCCTTCTCATCAAACTTCAAAGTTATTGTTTCTAGCTATATTAAATTCATCACATTTTCCTAGCTTTTCACGATCAATTGCTTTAACATTAAACTGCAATCGATACTCGATTACTCATTAAATGATCCCTACTTAAAAAAAAAGGTTAAAGTTGTTTATTGTAGAACATTGGAAAATTACTATTACAAACAATCGCCGTCAAAAACTGTATACAGAAAATATAAAGCGTAAAAGAATGTTATGTGGGACAAGAAACAGTGATAGCAGATGATATCGTAATATTTAAAAGTTGTTTTCATCCACAATAGTACGTAGTTTGCAATATAGAAAAACTGCATAATAAAAAACAAAGTTCTGTAGAAGTCTGAACTCAGTGACACTGTTCAAGTTCTCTCGTAAATATTTTAACGCCATAAATGTAAGTGATTCATATTAAAGTGCAATAAAATTCCGAAAGATCTACGATGGATTTGTAAATTGTTCTTCCAGTTCATAGAATGGCCAACAGGTGGGCAGTATGATATCGCATCACCGAAGAAGGAAGCAACGTTAGGAAAAAATGGCCACCCCATTACAGACCGCCTTAAGGCAATTGATGCGTTGTTGAGTAATGAAGGTTTTAAGTGAACTGGAAGTTCATCGCAAGTGAAAGCGCAATACCAAGGTTACTTGCTATACCAAGAGGAACTTCTCACTATTAAAATCAGAAGATTAGCGCTTTCCTACTAGAAATCTTCGAGCATGTGAAGTCACTGACTCATAGTCTAGTCAGAAACAACTATTTCCTACTTCCTTTGTGTCTTTATTTCTTCCACTTCCGAAAGTCAAGTGACGTAATTGAACTTGGGCATTGGGAAGAGAATCATCTTGTTTGTATACTGACCTTGCGCAATATGGTGGTTCTTACTGTCCCTGCAGCGTAGCAAGTGTACGAGTGATGAAGGTATGAAAGCGGTGAAAAAAGATCTTTCAATCAGTAGCCATTAAAATGATGCTGACTTTCTTCTAGGATGTAAATGGGAATGGAGCATACATGAAAAAGAAGGTAACAGCTACCAATGCTTCTTAGATTTGCTTTAAACCGCCTTCGCTTTGCAATCAAAAGCAAATGACAAACTATGGGCTTCATTTCTATTGTTAAATGATGGCGATACTTGATCGCGTACTGCCCATTTAACGATTGCAGCAATTCAGGATATTGGTTTTCAGTATCTCATATATTCATCTTACTTACCAGACATTACTTCTAGTATATGTTCTAATGGCTGAAAAAGGCTATGGGAAACAAGTATTTCTGAAGAAACCAATGCACAGGACAAACAATGCAGAAAAACAATGCGCAATGGGAAACAATACGCAGGACAAACTACAGTGCATGACTGTTACCTGTAACTTTAATCATAATTTCAAGGTTAAGAACTGAAGATAACTTGATCAAAAGAGCTTCAAGTTATATTTCGCCATCCGAGTTACCTTGTAACCATAGGGAAACAGCTGAAGTAGACAATTTTAATAATTATTTTTTCTTCGCCTCATTTCCGTTTAACGTATTTTGCTTCATGAAAAGCTCATGAATAAAAACTCACTTGAATTATTGTCTCAAATGAGGTGGAGAAATAAGAGTTGTGTAGCGATGACTACACGCGTTACGATTGCAAAAGGCGGAGGGTTAGCGACGGCTTTGAAGCTCCAGTTTTACCCCTTTGATAGTCATCAAAGAGCTCAGCTCGCAATTCAGTTACGCACCGCAGTGGGTACAAGCGAACTAGCTCTCATTACATATTTACGATTGATAGATATTTACGATTGATTGTACTTAAAACTAAAAAAAGAATTGCTTAAACAAGCAGACGCCAAAGGGTTAAAGAAACAGACTATGGCTATGGACGCAACCAAACGAAGTCTTGTCTCGAGTTATCCACGTAATTCCGAAACGCTAGAATACATGCATTGCATGTCGTAAGAACTAAATAGTAAAATGACATACGTACAATCTTTCAGCATTTTGTTATTTGCCTCATAGTAATTGATATTTTTTAATCACTGCCATGTTATTTATTTTCTTCATTTCTAATTATGTTTATTATCCTTTTATTTACAGTGTGTTCTTTTTGTTTTGAATAGTAATTTAATTTAGTTAACCAAATGAATTTGTTCTCTAAATTAAGCTGCTTAAAGCTACGGATAAATTATTTGTAGCATTTCTATGTTCATTATGTAAATATAAAATAATAAATATAAATTATTCCTTTCACCTGTGTTTTTTAACTGCATTCAGATTAAGTGTGATTTTGATTATGCGTATGCGGCGTCCCCGACGTTACCCCGATAAATCGGGAAAATAATTGTATTTTGAAAATTTTCTCAATTAAAATTCGTCTCAAATTAAAAACGGAGGGAAATTTAAATTCCAAGCACTCTTTGTTCAACAACAAGCAAAATAATTGAAAGACACACATTATTACTATTCTATAATTAAAATCTGGACATCATAGAACTGATTTGAGTCATTTCCATGTGTTTATTTACATCATATTTTGGTCTTGCAGCTAGATTCTCGGCTGATTACTATGATATGGGTTTCAGTCTTCTTGATGACGACAGCGACAAACGAACGGAACTCACTTTAGAAGAATGTGCCCGAATATGTTCTGAGGAACTGAAAAGCACTTGCAAATCCTTCAATTACTGCCCCGCATCAAATATTGGAACAGACAGCTCTTGCTCTCTAAGCTCCAAGATGATAACGGATAATGCAGTCACTACTACTTCTATGGCAGACAAGAACTGCCATCATTACGAAAGTAAGGGGCTTTTACATTTATTTCCTTACCTTTACTTCTGAATAAAGATAATCAATGGATATATTTACGAAAAATACAAACGTGAGACGGAAGAATTATATTTAATTACATTTAATTATTAGAATCATATTTAACAGAAAGAAAACTTGACAGGAAGCTTTCGAAGTTTCATTTACTTTTAAATTGCAACGATGCTGTAAGATTTAAAGCTAATAGATAATAATAAATATAATGCAAAAATTCCTTTCATTTTTTAGAATATTAATTTTTATATTCAAACCATCTGCAATAAATTATTTTCCAATTTTTATCATCGTAAATTACGTTACGTTGCATTTATCCCCCATGCAGATTGACGAGTTGCCAGTTTTCAAATGTGATAACATTCGACGCTACATAAGATTTTTAATTTTCTTTTAAAATTAAAACTGTGCATTTATTAATTAATTAAAAGCTTTAAGAATAATACGAACACTTCTTAATAATTTAAACTGTAAAACCTCTTGAGACACCTCCTGAGACCCTCTAAGTTATTGCCTTTTTAAAAGAAATCAGTATTTTGAAAAACGTAATTAAACTAATGTGAATATCACCATCAATTATGTTCTATAAAGCGACCACTTCGAACGAAGCTAAGAATAATCTCTAATCTGGATAGACGCTTTAAAGAGGTTTCTCTATATCTCCATATTATACTTTAATAATATCTTAAACTGATGTAATTTATAATGAATCTAATTCATGCGATTTACAGAGGGTGTTTACACATTTTTAGAATGATTTCGATAAAGATTTTTTTTAATAAATGCAAATATTTTGGAATAGACATTTCTAACAATAGCTTATTATTTAAAAAGAGAAATATCGTCTGCTACTTTTAAATTTATTCTTCTTTCAAAATGTCGAACTGTAAACAAACTGTGGATGAAAGGATATGTTTCTGCGTTTTTTGAAGAGAAATATTCCCGTTCCATAATTCAAAAACGTTGCAAAAGGCACTATATTAAAATTTCTGTATGCATAAAAACAACATTATTAATTGAAAAGAGAAAAACCTCCAGTTACTTCTACATGGAAAGAAGACTTACTTGAAAAAGGTACGTACTGTTTCTAACGTTTCACAAGCTAAATCATTGGTAATAAGAAAACTTCGCCGAAGCAGAAATCAATACCAAAGTCATTAAATACATCTTTGGCAAGAATAAATAAATAAAAGAAAAAAAAAATTTAAAAAAAAAAAAATTAAAAAAAAAAAAAATCTGAAATTTTTCAGATTTTAATTACGTCCAAAGGGGCGTTTTTTTAACGTTTTGAGTGTTACCTTTATTTATTAAATATCATGTTCTTTGCACTTAAACCATAAAATTCAGTTCAAGAGCAATATCACAAAAATAATGTTAAATTAAGCATATCTTTAGAATTTCCGATATACACAGGTCTCGCGAAGCTGGAGATAAAAGTATTTTTTTTTTATATATAACGTTGCCATTTCTCGCTTTTAAAGCATTGAGTTTGTAAATCAAAAATTCGTTAAAGTTTTACAAAATATAAAATCTATAATAAAACAAATTCCAAATTTGGGATTTCAGATGTCCATATTCGCAGTACGATTTCGTCATTCAAAATTCGATGGCTCTATGTACCATTGTTTTATCACAATGCGAGAAATAGACAATCATTTATGCAGATTTTTCATTATTTAATTTCTTCAAATATAATGCAGGACTCTAACATTTTGTGGCAACAGTTTGAAAAGTGAACCGACGTTTATAGGAGTCCGACGCAAAATCGCAAAACGAAAACAATAGTCCTTCAGGGACAAAGCCCCTTTGGACTAATAATAAACCAAAATCTAAATATATCAGAAGTTCAAACAAGAGTAATTAGCGTTAAATTTTAGAATTTACACTACTAGTTTCTAAAGTTTTACTGCAGAACCTTCTTCTTCACCTGCAAGACCTATAATGCTTGTACTCATGCGATACCAATAGAAGCAATAGAAAACTCCCTTAAAAGCGGAGGGTAAATTCGGATTGGAATTTGTATCATTAACTAGAACTGAAAGATTTTTATGAACGTAAAACGCATGTGAAAAATCTAGGTCGCCAAAGGACGATATTTTTTAATAATTTTGGTTACAGAAAAATGAAAAATATGAATTTTGTCCAATAATGTTGAGCAAACAGGTTAAGTATCAAATGGCAAGCTCTACATAGCTAATACTGAAATACATTATTTTAACTTTTTTTTTATTAGCAACATCCATTTTAATTTGCAGAAAGCAATTTTTGTTTTTTCTTTTAGCGACTAACATTTGAAGAATCTTTCCAGCATCTGGAATGAAAGTAGGCTAGGTATCAGATTACAAATTCTGTTTACCTAATTCTTTAATCTGTTTTATTACCATGTTTGATATCTAGATTTTAAAGTTCTTTTTCAAAATTGCGTAATCAAGGAACAAAATTTTTAGCAATTTATTAACCGGAAAAAAGATGAAACAGACTGATATATAACAGAATGGAAACAAGAGAATAAAAATCTGCATTTATCTTTTCAAACTACTCGGATTCACTAAAACGCGTTATTCTGTTTACAGTTTCTGAGAATGTCATTACATAGTGGAGGAATATTAACTCAAAAATTAAGCCGTATCGAGTATCTATATGTCTCAGCAAGATTGTATTTCGTAAAAGCGAAGATAAAAACGAATCGTTAATAAATATTTTCCTAAAAAAATGATAAATCTCGTGCATAAAAATGATAATTTCTCGCTCTAAAGAGAATAAGATCATTTTTGGTAACTCCAACTAAAAAATATAAATCATGCCGAGTAATAACAATAAATAAGAAAATATTCTCAAAAATTAAATCTTTAATTAAAAATATAATGCAACTAAAAACACTTTTTATGCGATAAGCTTTTATTTAAATTAGGTATGGCAATGCACTAAAAAGAAAAAATAATTCATCGTATAGTTTAATGGGAATAATAAATTGAGTATTTTTTTTACAGAATTCATCTGGAATTTTATATCACGAATAATAAAAGTATGAAGTACCCGTCATAATTTTAAGTGACCAGTCTGCATTAGACTACAACACATTTTTTAAATAAAATTCATAAAATCGCTCAATTAATATTTTCTATCATTCTTGTTTTAAAGTAGGCGAATAATTTCTTTTATAATCCGTTAAAATTTCAAAATTTTACATTCCATACATTTTTAGGTATTGAAAGTTAAAAGTAAGCGTACAACAGTCTGAAAAATTTCCCGAAGAGGCACATGGTAAGTTTATTTAAGTAGGCATACCAACTGAAACCATTCAATCGCTTCTCATTTTCAAATTCAATGTCACATGCATTCATCTTTCTCGCTTTGAGACTTCTTGAGAGTGTATGTTGCATACAGATTGAATATTCCTATTTTAGATAAGGAAATTATATTAAAAAAACCACGTGATTTATGTGGGACTACGCCATCAAATAATGTTAACAATGTCAGAAACAATCACCGTCTTTAAGACATGGTCAGTTTCACGGTGTAAATTTTCGACAGAAGCCATCTTCTGTCTGCAAAATTCAACCAAGGCTGAGGCTTGCAGTCAGATGGCAGTCATTTATCCAAATCCTTATCAGTGTCTCATTAAATTACCCAAATGATACAAACAGTGATCCCACTGGTACAAGATTCCTTGAAGCGGATGGAGGGAGACAGTTGATTTCAAAATTTAAACGCAGGAAAATTTGCGGTCTTGTGGGGAAAGTCCTGAAGATGCTTATTGCTTGAACCAATTTTTTTCAATGTGTGTACAAAGTCATTAAGACAGTTAAAACAATAATATAAAAATTATGATACATTAAATACGGTTACAAATATCATGAAAATAGAGTCAGAAGAACTTTCCTAGATATACAAGAATAGTTTGAGACTAGAGCTGTACAAATACAAATCTCATTACTATACTAGACAGAGATAGAAGCAACAAATTCGTACAAAAATCAGATATAAGAGTATTCACTAAACTCTAAATAAAGATATATACAAATACGCTAGATAAACATGTAAAAACATAATTATATAAAAATAATTTGAAAGTGTCAGATTTTATATTACGCCCAAAGGAGCATTTTTTCCCCTTTCCATACATATACACGTTTCGAGAACATTTGGAATAATATTCCTTTGGGCTAAAGCATTTGAAAACAACCTATCTTTAGAATTTCCGATAGCCAGTTTCCTGCATTGGAGATAATTTTTTTTTCCGTACAGCGCTGCCATTGCTAGCTTTGAAATCGTTGAATTGTTAATCAAAAAACGTTAAAGTTTTACAACATTTGAAATACACAATAAAATATTTCAAAACAGCATATGTTTCAGAATTTCCGATAGACCGTATATTTTTTTTTCTACAAGAGACCTGTAGATAAAAATGCTATTTTCCGAACAGTATTGCAATTGCTCGCTTTGAAATCAGTGAGTTTTTTAATTAAAAATTTGTTAAAGTTTCACAATAAATGAAATACAGACAAAAAAAATTCGAAATTTCAAATTTAGGGCTTTGAGTTGTCCATAGTCGGCTGGAGGACTACGTTATTCAAAAGTTAATGACTCTAGGCGCCGTTGTTTTTTCACAATGCGAAAAAAGTGCATGCATTCATGCAGATTCTTCATTATTTTTTTTTAAATATAATAATACAAGGCGATAATATTTGGTGACAACAGTTTGAAAAGTGATTCAGACTTATATAGTGATTCAATGCAAAATCCCGTTTTGAGACTAATAACCCTTCTGGGCTAATAATATTAACGAGTAAAGATGACTATTACATAAATCTGCTTCGAACAGCTTTTGTGCATAGTAAGTAAGAGGACAAGAACACAAGTCATTAAGATTTTTTTTACACATGGAAAAGAAACAGTTTTCTGACAGTCGTGTAGTATGAATGAGTCCTGAGTCCATGCGCGAATTCAGCATCAATTCATTGATGTCAATGCTCTAAGACCAGCAAAGTGTAACAGTCATCTGTTGTATTAAAAAATACGTATAAAAGAAAAAATCAGCAGTTCAACAACTCAGTATGCTTTGGGCCCGAAACTCAGATCACTAGTTCACTGTTTAAGGAAAGGTTCTCAATATTTCAACGTTCAAGAGACCTTATCTTACTATCATGAGTGGCAGCGCAAGCTGGCATTTATGACATCGAAACAGCTGAATGAACTTGCCAATAAGGGCAACCAATAATATGCAGCTTCAACTCCGTTCGATTGTTTCCAGCACGTTTTATTGTCTAGAACTCGGTGCCCTAGCATAACAGCTTATTACTTTTTTTATTGTTATTATTATTATTATTATTATTATGGACTTCAATGTGCTGTGAGATTTGCTTTGTTGTTACCCGGGGTTACTTATGATAGTCATTAATTAAATACAATCTGAGATGTGTTATTTTCATGCAGTAAATTGTAGCAAGTATGCATTAATGTGCTAACTATGCATGTTCATGTTTGAAGTACCTTTTATTATTTAATGCTTATAATCGAACATGTCAGTCCGCTTCTTTCACATTCACTGAATTCGCATACTTTTGAAGGAGGGATTTAAATACATAGATAATTATCTAAATGTTCTGTGTGTTTTTTCAAATAATTGTCGATGTTACATGTAAATTTATTCAGAAATTATTAGAAATTATTAGAAATTATTATACTTTATGTAAATTTCTTTTTTAGAGAAAAGTTCTGTTGATGACTGGGCTAAAGCTGAAAAAAAATTAGTTACGTCAGGATATACAAAGTGTAAGTATATGAGTTTTGCAATATTCTTTTACTCGTTCTATTTCTTTTTCACGAAACAAAAATATGTTAATTCCATTACGGTGGTGGTAGTGGTGGTGATGGTGTGTTGAGTTATGGCAAAGCACAAGAGGGCTATCTTCCTAAGGGGAGGGATGCCTTCGTGGAGGACTTTCTAAGGGAAAACTGGCTCATATACACGTTACACATGAGGAAAACCACGAAAACGCCCATGCAGCCAGCCCGTTCGCGGGATTCGAACCTAGGACCGAAACTACCAGTGTTCACCGACTTTACCGCTCGGCCGCTGGTGGGCCGTTAATTCCATTACATATTTTGAGACGATTTTTTTTTCCGCGAATGAGGTTGAACTATTTGGAATTCTGAATCATCATTAACACTATGTGCACTGTGTGCACTAGGCACTATGACAGAATTTAGAACAGGTGCAGATTCATAAAAGAATGCTAAAACTGTAAATCTTATTGCTTCTGAAGTGAATACCTTTATCCGAAAAGGATCTTCAAGTAAAAGCGACTTTGCTGGATAGTCAGAATTTGCAAGCAAAATGTTCAAGTACAGGAACTTCAAACGAAAAATCTGTTGGAGATGTTCCAGGACCATCCGCACAAAATAAGACTTCAAAGAAAATTCTACCTCATGAGATTCTAGTTAAGAAACCTTCTTAAAACTTTATTGTTGTTGATGAACGTTTATGCGCTTAAAACTCATTTATAAATCCATTTCTTGTTTGCAATTTCCACTGTATAATTGGTAGTAATGAGAGATGAGTTATCATTGAATGCACATTGTTGTCAAATAGCAACAAACGGTAAATAATCTATTAAAACAGTAGAAGAGGAAATCTATTTATTTAAATATTCCCCTATGTTATTGGAAAGACTTTTAGTAACACACATATATATATATTTGGTTCCAAAATAAAGCTTCATGCAGTGCAGGGTGAAGTACGACAGTACTAAATTAATTTACTAGTACTGAATATTTATTATTTAAAAATTTACCCATTAGTATCGCAACCATGGGAGTAGCTTCTAAAAGGGGTTTTAAAATTTTCTCACGTGATGTTTCGTGAGGAGGAGAAACAAGATCCACTTTCTGAAGTTCTGCGGAGTATCTAACATTCATTCCTATTCATTTCTAAGTCAATTGATCAGATACAGATCATTCCGCAAATAATATCAAACAACAAAATCTTCTTCTCGATTTCAAATCGGTGGCAAAATCTTCGTAAAGCAAATAGACTTTAACAGTTGACTCCTGACAAACACTGCAAGCCGAATGTATGAAGTCTCTCACCCAGTTGTGATAGCAATGTGCAGTTAGAAAATTCACCGACCATTATGTGTTCCCCTATACATTTATGGCCTGTACTGAACGCTAGTTTTATTCACGTTTAAAAACTATTCGAGTTAATCACTGTGGGTACTCACTGTTATATATATTACCTCATTCCTTAATGTACGATGCAGTTAATACCCTAAAATCCCCTCGTGATATTATGGTTTAATCACAGTAGACAGTTACCATTATTTATGTTACCCTATCCTTTTGCGTGCTATGTAATTACACACTCAGATCTTCCCATGAGTTTTGTGACTTTTATTGTACCCTAGCATTATTCATGTTTTAATGACTGTTATATTAATTCAGAAGTCAAACAACAACTGTTATATATTTATCATTTTTTTCTCTTATAGCGGGTTTTGCTGGATTAGTTGTTGGTATGCTAGCTCTTGGTCTTCTTGTAGGAATCGTAGCCTTCCTACTCTATTCTTATTACCGTTCAAGATATGCAGGTGATGGATTGAGCGTCCGGTTCACGAAACAAGAGAATTCATGAGAAAGCAAATATAATTTAGTGGCACATCCAAAAAAGCAGACAAGTAACAAACATCAAAAGTTAAAGAACTGTCTGAACTGTGTGAGTCACCAGATATTTAACCAATGACTTATCAACGTGTATTAGAAACTTATTTTCTCGAAGTGAATTCCGTTACTTGTCTTTTTTGTTTTTACGTGTTTGTGTCGTCTAAAGAATTTTGTTTTTGTAGTATTACAATAAAATGTATTCTGATTCTACTATCTTTGAGTCGTTTTGCGTATATTAAGATATTAACTGCTGCAAACAAACTCAAAATTTCTGGTAATTTTTGCAATAACATTATTTTTTTTTCTTAATTAAAATTTTCTTTTAATGGCGTACATTGCCTAATTCAGCTTAAGGTACGTCTGCGAAGAGTTGACAAAAATTAAACCAATATAGTTTTATTAAAACTAAAAATTTTAAAAACTTTTCTGCATCTGAATATGATTTTGCTCCAAATTGTTTGTTAGAGAAGGAGATTTCTTTCAAGAAAGACAACAACATATACAACAGAAAATTCCTCAGAACTCAAAACCTCTATAAAAATTCCGATTTGAGTCAAATTCTTCAGTTTTGAACAATATTAATTTTCTTCTGTGCAAAACGGAATTGTAATACACTTCATATAGTTCATGGCATTAGTGCGATAAATCTTCTTCGTAAGAATCTCAGTAATAATAATGTTAAGGTAATTAATTATAAATATGGGAAGAACAGAAAATTAACTTTATTTCTCAGATCCTTTGAGATATAATAATTTTTTAAGTCCTAGATTAAGCGCGTGAGTGACAGGTGTCCCACAGTGATATTTGTCACAAGTTTCCAACATAATCTGTTGATTTTCGAAGTAACTGTGAAACAGTGATGATTTCGAAGTCACTGTGAATAAACACATTGTGATGATTTTTGCGCCTTTCTGTAGCTAAAAGTTAATGATTGGTGTTTTTTTGTGTCGGCAGTATCACAAAAATTATTTTCCTTATTCTAGATACATTTTAATGGGTAGATGTCTTCTGCCACCCACGCGCCTAATTGTGCAACACAAATACACGAATTAAATATCCTTCGTTGATTTTTAACTCGAAGAAGAGTCAAAGAATATTCCGAAATCTGAAATTATTTCTAATAGTAGAAAATGTTAAAGATTGGTTTGATTTAATCACGGCAAAGCACTTTATCTGAGCTTTATAAAAAGAAAGATACCTTCGTGGATGTCTTTTTAAAGTAAACTGGTCGTATACACGCTACATATGGGGAAAACCCCGAAAGTGCCCATGACACCATCCTATTCGCCTTGAAGGCGGTGAAATGTTCATAATTTAAAGCAGATAATCAGAATAATGCTTGGTGCCTGCAGTTATAAAGCTTCATGTTCCGTGGTCGGAAGCCATCATAGCGGTGCATTCACTCACTCACTATTATTAAAATTTGTCATTCGATTTTAAACTATTACCTGTTAAAATGCGGAGATCAAATTTTAAGCGCACACTTGCTGTGGATGACTCTATAATATACTGAAGCGGCCTTTTTCAAAATTTGATTTAAAGGTTTTTAATTTAATGTTGAATGTATTTTTCGCACATATTTTCGCTTTATGAACAAACTCTCAAAACCTTACTGTTTATACCTTTGGATATAGCAGAGAAAAAAAATCTTTTAACTGAAATAAGAGATTTCAACGTAATTTCTGTTTTTTTTGGGGGGGGGCTAAACCGCTATAGGTTTTCGACCATCTGACGTAACAAAATTGTTGGAGGTAGAAGAGTGACTATTCGTAGTTGTAAAATAATTTTTCAATTGAATAATTTGATCTATAATATGTCACTGAGACGAAAAGGATGAAAATTAAAAATAAAAGTTATTAAAAAAACGTGAAAGGTTTTAGATTTTAACGGTCGCCCAAAAGTGCTTGTTAAAATTTTTTACGATCTCGCTGCACTCGCAGTCTCCACTCTCGTCCTGGCACTCGCTCCTGCTAACCTACTTTTTTTTTAAAAAAAATCTTTTTAGCTTTACTGTTGAGCATCATTTTCTTCTCTTTTACATCCCATGCGGCTCAATAGCAAAATAAAAAAAATATTTAAAAGCTGCATAGCAGGATATATTTATCATTCCCGTTGCAATATTAACTTTTAGCATACATTTTATATTTATAAGTTTTAGCATACATTTATATATATAAATATATATATATTCAGTTTCTCTCAGTTCACATCAATATTCAGTTTTTAGTTGTCAACATTTTTTTTTTTTTTTTTTTTTTTGTCTTTTCATATTAACCTTTTATGTGTTAACTTTATTTATTAAGTATCATTTTCATAGCACTTACGCTACATAAAATTCATTCAATAGCGAAATCACAAATTATTAAAAACAGCATATCTTTAGAGTTCCTGACACAGTGTTAGAGGTTGCCATATATATTTTTATATTCGATACATTATTTCTTTAAAAACTAGCCGCTTGCGCCAGCTATCTAAAATAGTTACCAGGAGGAAAAAGTATATAATTATTTTAATGACTAGTGCTAGTATAATTTCTTAAAAATATTGAATATTTCTAATTAACGTATGGCTTAGTTTATTACTCAATACCTTCCAGATTAAATTCGAAAGTATAGAATGAACGGCAACATGCATCCACACGGAAGATAAAAATATTTTATTTTCGGTCGTTGCAGCAGACTGCTTTCATGCATCCCACTTTGTTAATTAACATTGAAACGTAAATGTCTTGTATTTTTTCGAAGGGCAACCTGGATATAAAAAGGATAAATACCACCCTGGATATAAAAAGGTTTTGTTTCGAACAAAGAGTTGCCACTGCTCGCTTTCAAATTGTTGAGTTTGTTAATCAGAAACTCTTTAAAATATGAAATAAAAATAAGTTCCAGTTTCCAGATGCACACGTTCAAGTAGAGGACTGCGTTATTCATCCATTTTTTCACAGCGCAGGAAATATACATACATACATGCAATTTTTATTATTGAATTTCTTGAAAAATAATGCGTACAAAGCGATAATATTTGGTGGCAACAATTTGAAAGCGGCAAGACGTTTCTATTGAACAGAAGCAAAATTTCATCTCGAGAATAATTGCCCCATTTGGGCTAATAAGCTTTTACCTAAATCTCATAAAATCATTATTGAACCAACAGGTTTCCCCCCGGCGGGCGAAAATTTCCAGTACCTTGCATTTCTAGAAATTACTGGAAGGCATATGCGGCTAAAGTTACAAATGCGGATGAATTACAGATATTGTACTAAATACTGTTATATAGTAGGGGGGCCCAAGAGCGATGCTTAGTGCAGGGAGGAAATTATGCTACATACGCAGGACGTCATGTGGGAGACAGCGTTAGTTCTTAGCGTTTGTTTACTTTCGT